CCATATTGGTAGCTACGCGCCGGCATGCGATAAGGGCCGAAAACGGTCAGGTCCACACCATACTTTCCGAACGAGTCGCCCATCCAATACTCGTGGAGTGTGTGACCTTCGTTGAGCTCGCTGGGTACGTTGAGAAGATCGTGGTAGAACTTGGGCACATCCTCACGGCTCAAGCCAGCGGCAAGTGGTTGCGGGTTACCGAAAATATCCGAGTTGGCCGGCAGCGTGACGACGAACGGAGAGTCCGGGTAATCTATGGTCACCAAGGCGATGTTGAAGTTCCGATCTCTGCCCTTGCGTGCTGGATCAGCCCAATTGGTCGTGGGTGGCGCAGCATAATCTAGCTAAAGCTTTAGTGACCTTCATTTGCATTGTTATTCTCAGACGTACCATCCCAAGTCATGTTGTCTGGATTGACCCAGTTCTGGGGGTCGATGGGCGCGAACGGGTTCACAGGCGCGCTCTGGCGACGCACCACAGCAGCTGCCGCAAGCTCAAGCATCGTGCTCAAGATGACAGCCATTGAGGCGCGATGAGGGCTTCGGGTCGCCATCATTCACCACAAAGCTTTGTGAGACAGATGTGCGAGCGACAGGATGAGCGTGAGAAGCGGAGGTGAGAGGGACCGTTGAAGCATATCAATGAGTACACGGACCGGCATCATCAAGATTGAGTTACCTACCCATGATGCCGACTACGTAGGGCAAGACAGATATCACGGTAAAGTGCATATGCGGCTGCCTCTTCCAGTTAGGTCAGCCCGTTCCACCGTCTTGGCACGCGCGCACCTGCTGTTCCCAGTGTGCGAGGCTGGGGTGGACGATAACGGCGTCGCTTGGTCCTGCACTTTCGTCGATCCGATGGATAATTGCGTCCAATGCGACGGTTACGTGCTTGACGTAAGCTTTGATGGTGCCGTGAACCTTGGTACGCTGGCTGCGAAAGCTTGTCCGCACCGACCACGGCGACCCCTTCCGCCCCGCTCGAGACTTGCCGGAAAGCATCAATGGGTTTATCATATCGCGGATGGCGGGTGATAGCACGGGTATAGCTCGGCCACTTGATTCTGAGATAACGGGCGCGCCAGAAGTTGTGGTTGTTTTCTCATGCTGCGACGTCATGATTCAGATGCCTCTTTTTTCTTCGACAGTCTTTCGTGCTTTGGCCGTAATGCGGCTACATAGCGCCGTGCAACTCCAAGTCCGTCTCAACCATAAAGCTTCCGGCGCTTTGGTAATATACAGCTGACGTGAGACAATTGCAGCGCCGACATTGCAGATGCGGCTTCCTGTATGGGATGCGACTGTGCGCATTGCTGCATTTTTCTCTGAAAACGATGTGCAAGGTCAATATGGCTAGTGGCTGAGGAGATTGTGTCTTCGCCGCGTTCTACACTGGATTTCGTGCAAAATGTCAGGTGATGGCCGTCACTGCCTAGGCATGAGCACACACTCATATGTTCACTCAAATATTGGAAGCAAACAGGGGCAGACTGATTGTGTACCATTTATGACTCGAGATCGTGATCATCTTGCTTTGGCAATCACTTCCATGTCCTTAATGAGACGTCCATGCTCCACTGTGGTCTGTCTCTCAGTCATCCTCTCCTCAAGCCCCGACCTTTACAGTACCGTCACCCTTTCCCCCTCCACCGTCAACGTCATCTTTCTTCTCCTGCGCATCCTTGGCCTCCGCTTCGTGTCTTGGGCAGTTTGTTGTGAGAAAGACTGACTTCGTTCCCATTATCGTTTCTCGGCCGCCGGAGTTGTTCTCGCAGCCGTTCGAACCTTTTGGAGCGGAGTTGCTAACCCCCTCACAGTTCATGTACACACGACCGTAACCCTCCGGATTTTCAGGAGTGGATCCGTATTTGCATCCACATTTGTGGAAGTTTGTAACCCACCAACACATTGCGTAAAGGTGGCAGCTGAGTAGGGTGTTGAGGTTTTGCTGTTGAACAGTGGAGGACTGTGCTAGCCGAGATGTGAGAGGTAGGCTTGGAATTTGGATTGGTTTGTTTGCTTGCTGTTTGATGATGTATATAAGAGTATAAAAGCCTGTGAAGAGGAGTTTTTATAGTCCTCCATGACGCATATAATAACTAGTTGTGACTCTGGCCAGCACGATTGAGTCCGCAATGATGCCTCACCTCGCTCCTCTATGACTGGTTTGTCCTCATAAGTCCTTCGGTGTCATCAGGTCCTTCACTACACGTACCGCAATTTGGCCTACCTCTCATGATGTGCAACGATCAAGGTGGCACAACACCTGTATACAGTTAGCCTCACTTGAACATGACTGTTTTGACGTGTTTAAGTAAAACGTGTATGCAGATGTGCCATTGCTATGTGTTACATCTTCACTAACGCAGCATGCCAGGCTTCCCTTGATTATCGATTGCGACAAGAACAGGTGCTCGGTTCAACCCAGACGTCCCTTACCACCGCCATATTTTCCCTCTGGGCCCTCAAGGTGAGCATCCAATACTGCTGATGTTCCACTGAGTACGCTCTTGATGGCTTCAGGCAATAGCCTGCTGAGCTCATCTGAAGTGGATGCATGTGCAGCCCAGATCTGACCACCACTGGCCGCCTTGGCGATGCCTGAGTAGTCTGGAGTTGGCGCAAAACTGATATTGAGTTCCTCGTTGCTGACTTTAGAACCCTCTCCATCAGGGTGTACCAGTAGCATGGATCGTCGCGGAGCGTTCCAGCCCTTGTTGTTGAGGACGACGGTAAGGATGGGAATGTTGTAGCGCTGCGCAATCCAGTATACTGATCCGGGAACGGAAAATAGATAGGTACCGTCTCCAACAATCTGACACACGAATTGCTTCTTTCCTTCGGTATCAGTCGCAAGCTTGACGCCAAGCGCACCACCTCCAGACCACCCAAGTCCGCCACCACCGCAGTTTATCCATGAGCCAGGAAGCGTAGCCTGAATCTGGTCCGCAACAAAGCCAGTCTGGGTAACAGCCTCTATAGCCCAGATGGTATCATTAGGGCAGAGCTTTTTGAGTTGAGAACAAAGATATGGGGTACTGAAATGGCCCTTGTCGTCGACCTTGGCTTCGCCGGCAATGCCTTCGAGTTTCTTCTTATGCGACTCTTGTAACGCTGTCCACCGTTGGCTGAAAAGTTGGGAAGAGATCTTCTCTTTGAGTTGCGATTCAAAGTATTCATTGAGCTGCGTCAGTGAGGTATAAGAGTCGGCTCTGTATCGTTGTGTAGCGTTTAGGTAGAACACAGGCATCTGTTGTTTTAGGGGGTCGACATCGACGTGGAAGATCTTGGCATTCTCCTTGGGATGGCACTGTGTGTTGATCCAGGGCACGTCGCAGTCGAGGACCAGGATGACGTCGGCTGTCTTGATGGCAGGGTCGTTGCCGTACCGTAGGCCGAGCCAAGCTGGGTGATTTGCGGGGAAACACATGTCACTTCCTCCGGTGTCCAGTACACGAAGGCCCTTGACGTTGTCAGCCACCCGCACGAGTTCTTGCACAGCATCGTGATTTCGCCCCGAGTATCCGGTGATGATGAGAGGCTCCTGAGCGTTCACCAAGGCCTCAGCAATCGTCTTGACGCCCTTGGGAGGAAGGGCAGCGGGTTCGACGGGATGCCAGAAGTCCATCTCCAGCTTGTATGGAGTCAAGTCCTCTTCCATGGGCTCGCGCGCGCCATAGAGATAGACAGGCCCCTTGGGATCGCTCATGGCAAACGAGAGAGCCCGATTGACCATCTGCTTGACATTCTTGCCCGACTTGATCTCGCCCGTGTACCTGCAGTACTGGGCGACGATCTGCTTCTGGTCCGGCACGTCTTGTATCCAGTGGATGTATTCCGTCCGGCTGCCGCGCATTTCGCCCTCGATGGTGAAGGGCGATAGGCCGGCGAAGATGAGGACGGGTGCGCGGCCGCACGAGGCGTTATGTACGGCGGCTCCGAGGCCTTGGGTTCCGACGTCGACGTGCACGATGACACATTGGGGTTTGCCCGTCAGTCTGGCATATCCGTCCGCCATGGAGAGGGCGACCATCTGGACGCGTCAGTCGCTGGCCGTGTTGAAGTGCATCTCAGGTGCCTACCTCGTTCGGACATGTGATGATCTTGGGGAATTGGCCCTTCTTCTCATTCTGGCCTTTGACGATGGCTTCGATGATCGAGGGATGGTCGGACCCAAGGTTGACGAAGACGTGACTGACGCCGTACTCCCAGAGCGCCTCGAAGAAGGCAAAGGACGCAGTGTAGCTGGCGATAGTCAGTACATGATACGCCTGTGTATGCGGTGGTCATACTTACACCATCTTGTGTGCCGTGTGCTATATTATCTGTCGTGTGTCCAGACTGACTTGAGGACAGGTGCGCACAAGTCCGATGACGGCGTGCGTCGGAGAATTGGATGCCCCATCGCTCCTGCTGCTATCATGGGATGGATACAGAATGGGCAGCGGCCCCACCAGAGCGCGGGGAAGCTTTGCTGTCGCGGTTGGGGTTTACGGCAGGCCGACTACTCATCATCGGCATTCTGAGGCGCGGCGGCGGCTGTTGACGGGACCATCAGACCCGCATTGCATCTCAATTGACACTCGTCTCGACGCCATTTCATTAATCGCCCAAGACTGGCGACATGTATGCGACGGCGCAACGCGTATAAACTGTGGCAGATGAAGGAGCTCGCCCTGTCGCGCCTGCACGCTATCCATCGCGTCGCGGCATGGTTCCGCCGTGCGGAAAAGCCACTTTGTGACCAGGACACTCCCCATCTGCTTGCACTTCAACACAGCGCTCGCCTTCGCCATCTCTCGTCGTCATGCCACCCGTCAGGGCTATGACGGTCTTGCCCAAACTTGTAATGTCTGCACAATCACTGCAGGAGGCCGACGCCGCGAGGCATCCGTGTCAAACGCGTTTCATCCCAAGCACGCGTATAGAAAGTCAGGTAGGCCCAGCTACACCCTGATCATCCCAAAGGATCTTGGTCACTCATCTAGACTCTGCAAAATGCGTTTCTATCTCGTTTGCCTTCTATCGTTTGCTCGCTCAACAGTCCTTGCATATCATCCCGAAGAATGCCCATCCAATTCGACACGCCACATTCAGTACCCGACATGCCTTGGGCTACCGGACGTCTATCTCGTCAAAGCAAGCGAAGGGAAGGGTCTGGGTGTTTTCGCTGCTCATGACATAGACATAGGCGATATCGTCATGCGCGAGACGCCTGTCCTCAAGATTCGTTTGCCAAAGCTGGCGAAAGGGAGCCCATACCCCATGGCAGCTGTCGCTATGCTACTCCAAGAGCAATTTGGCACCCTATCGCTAGAGTCACAAGAGGAGGTCCTCTCTTTAGCACATGAAGCGAATGCTGTAGACAGCAAACCTCAAGATACTCTAGGCACCATCTTTCGCAACAATGCCTACAATACCGGCGATCAGGTTGGCCTCTTCCCTAAGATCGCTCGAATCAACCACTCGTGCCGACCAAACACGAGCTACTACTGGAGCGAAAAGCTGAACAAGCGCATCGTCTACGCCACACGCAAAATCAAGGCAGGGGAAGAATTCTTCGTGTCTTACATCTCACTGCTGCTCAGTCGGGAGGATCGCCAAAAGCAGCTCGATCGATATGGCTTCCGGTGCCACTGTGAAGCATGTGCACACGAGCGAGCCGCTCAGATAGCTAGCGACAATCGCCGCATCACCATCAAAAACGCCTTCTCCAAGTTCGAACCGCAAATGGTGCTGACGGCGCCACAGTCCAAGGCCGGGAAGCGTCAGGCGCAAAAGGACGCTGAGGTGAGCGTTCAACTTGCCGGACTAGTAGAGGAGGAAGGACTTGCCGACTACTATGCCAAAGCCTACAGAATTGCCGCTATAAGCCATGCCAGAGTGGAAGATTGGGCGACCGCTGCGAGATGGGCGAACCGAGCCTACGAAATACGTTACATGGAGGATCCGGACTCGAAGAGCACATTGGAGTTGCACCACCTCACCAGCAGTTTCATCTCAAATTGGGAGACAGAGCTGCGAAGTCGTGATTCAACATGACATTCTGCAAGCGGCTTTGACACTCGCGTCGCATTGCCCTGCATATGATGCGGAAGATTGGCCGTTCCAGACCTGCGGTTCGCACATGCGGCCCTGTTCACCCGGTCGCCCGCTTATTAGCCTAATGCATCACCACGCCTCTGCGTCTTCGCATTGCAACAAACGTATCTTCACCTGACAATCATCACGATCATTCATAACAATCCAGCAACATGAGTCTATCGCAGATTACGCCCAGCATGTCCAAGCAGAGACTCATCGACCGCGACGAGCGAACTCGCAAAAAGCCAATGCGCATCCTGGTTCTGGGCATGTGTCGTACGGGAACGACCACTATCGCAGTCGCACTCCGTAAACTTGGCTATACCTCGCATCAAATGCGCGATGTGCTCGCCAAACCGTCTGAACTCGCGCTGTGGGAAGAAGCTGTCAACGTCACTCTGTTACCGCCCCAAGAACGGCCTTCAAACCAACAGAAGATGGAACCGTATGGCAAGGCAGAGTTTGACAAACTATTGGCCGACTACGATGTCGTTATGGATCTACCCGGTTGTGTTTTCGCATCGGAACTGGTGAAGGCCTACCCAGAAGCCAAGGTCATCCTGACGAAGAGGAGGTACGAAGACTGGGAACAAAGCATGCAAGACAGTATATGGTGTCTTGATACGTGGCGGCTATTCACTCTCTGTCGTCAACTCAACATCACACAGTTGGCACCATTGATGCGACTTGTACATTCCATATTCCAGGTACACAACGGTAACAACTACGGTGGCCCGGCAGCAAAATCGGCATTCGACCAGCACTACGACACTGTTCGCTCGTTGGTACCTCAAAGTCAATTACTGGAGCTCGACACTGACGGAATGTTGAAATGGGAGCCCCTCTGCGAGTTCTTGGGCAAAGCGGTACCGAAGGAAGGTTTTCCGAAAACGAGCGAAGACAAGGCCATGCGCAAAGGTCTTGAGAGTGCATGGTGGGGCATGGTTCAATACTTTGTCATGTTGATCATTCTTCCGGGGCTTGTCGTGGTTGGATCTGCTATGTTGTACACATACGCGGATGAGGTGAGGGCGTATCGAGATGGTTGGTTAATGGTGGCAAAGAAGTACATGGAAACGGGAGAATTGTAACATACTGCGAGAGCTTGATGGCATTTGGCAAAATTCGTGATCCTCTTAGTCTGTGCTTGCATTCATCATACTTGCTGCATGAAGGCTTTATATGTCATATATCTAATTGTCTTGACTCATTCTACGGACTCATCTATATTGCGCTGTGTCCTGCCAGCCATTCAAGCCTTCCACCTCAGCAGAGTGAAGGAATGCTTGCCAAATTTGAACTTGCCCTGCCCATCCCAGCTACTTTCCTTGATACCAACGTTCTGCACGCCATCAGTGTTGACCACATCAACGTTGTCGCCCGTCACGGTGTGCACCTCGACCTTGTCGGCCTTCAGTCCCGGGATGTCAACCTCGAAGTCCTGCTTCTCGTTGACATTGGTAACAGCAAGGTTAATGAAACCATCTTCGCTGAGCGTGGCGCTGCAGTCCAGGTAGGGCGTCTCGATAGTGTTGCGGATCCAACTCGGGTTCGTGCGGCCGGTATATTCTGGGGCGCGAACATTGAGCGCAATTGTGTGGCCACGCATGTACTTGGAGAAGAGAAGCAGAGGCCACCAAGAAGTCTGTTTGACCAGACCCTCCTTTGTGGTCATCAAGGGTGAGATGACGTTGACGCTCTGTGCGACAGTCGCCATGCCCATATCCTTGGCTTGGCGGATGAAGCCGTTCAGGAAGATGGAAACGGCAAGAGCATCGGAAAGTGTGTACTTCTCCTCAGCTCCGAGCTCACCGGGTGCACGAACGGGATCCCAAACGTTCCATTCGTCAAAGCAGATGGTCTGCCTAGGCACTGTCTCGGGAACCTTGTTCTCGATGCGTGCAAGATCGATCAAGCTCGCAGTCATCTGCACTGCTCGCTCAGCCGCCCGAGGTGCGGTAGCATTGGGCAGATGCTCCTTGTCGGCGGTGTAGATGTGGATAGAGTGCATGTCGATGAGCGACTTGGTGGTATCGCCACTGAGACCATGGACATCCCACTTGACGCACTGGTTGAGGACATAGTAGTCCCAGGATGAGTAACCAGTCTCACCGCAAAGGATGGTAGTGATAGTTGGGTCGAGAAGTTTGAGGGCTTTGGCCCATTGATAAGCCTTCTTGGCATAGTCTTCTTTGGTCATCTGCTCGACCTGCCATGGACCCCAACATTCGTTGCCGAGGGCCCAGTACTTGACCTAGGCGGTTGTCAGTATGATTGATGATGTAGGAAGAGTAAATAGAGGGTGATGGACATACATTGTAAGGCTTCTCGCGGCCGTTCTTGCGACGAAGGTTGGCGTAGTAGGTGTCGCGATCTGAGTTGCAGTACTCAAGCCATCCGAGAGCTACATCTAATCAGATCATGTGCGACAATAGTAATCGAGTGAAACGAACCTTCGTCCAGAGTGCCAGTTCCGAAGTTGAGGCAGAGATATGGCTCTGTGCCGACTTCTTCACACCATTGCATAAACTCATCCGTACCAAATGTGTTTGGCTCGATGCCAATCCATGCCAGCTCAGGCCTAGGCTCAGCATTAGCTTGCTGTAGCGGACATGCTGAACAAATGGTGGCTGGGTCGATGTCACATGAACACGCTTGTGGCGCCAGTACGGCCAACGGCACCTGATCCTCAAGACGCGTCGGCAGCCCCCAACGCACATGTGCAGTTAAGGGACGCCACGCATGAGTTAAAATCCGTGATAACTTACCTCTTTGGTCTGTTCTCTTTGGGTCCAACACCATCAAGCCAATGGTATGTGGCTACAAAGTTTCCGCCCGGATACCGCACTACAGGCACATTGAGTTCCTTGAAAGCTTCAATGACGTCCTTGCGGAAGCCTCTCTCATCGGAGAGAGGGTTGCCGGGATCGTAAATGCCGCCGTAGATGCAGCGGCCCATGTGCCTGGTGCGTGGTCGGTTAGCCGAAAAAGAAACACGCACCCAACGCCAGCCGCAGGGCGTCTATTCTTGAGCTTACTCAGTGAATCCTCCATAGATATTGTCGTTGATCTTAGCGATCTTGTGAGAAGGATGTATAGTGATGGAAGGCGTTTCGCTCTCCTCAATCTTGGTGAAGCTTGCCATGATGATGAGGGGGGAGGATAATGATGCTAGAAGATTGAAAAGGTGTGGTGTTTTGGGAAAGAACTTCACATGCAAGATCAGGACTCACGATGGTAGTGGCCTGACCTTCGCGATGTCGTTGAAGGCTTCATGGCGGTCTTGCCCACCTCCGGCTCGGCGTCGGTGCCAACGCCAGATTGGTTGACGCACCCGACGCTGACACATGCTCCCATTCGTGGAATTTCCCCAGCGGACGCTAGCTGCTATCATCTCGGAGACATGCCACACTATTGTTGTTTACAGAAAAACTGCCGCCACGACCACGGGGAGCCAAGAAGACTTCCACCAGTGGAAACGTAGCGCATCCTACATTTGCATCCTGAATATGCATGTGCTAACGTTATCGCGTTGGAAGCAAAAGTAGCGATTCGGGCTACGATCGACCGAACAAGTGCTGTCGCCTCGGTATTGACGCCGATGGCTGGTGATGCAGGGATGAAGAGGCGGGTCGCGGAGAGAATAAACGCGGAGTCGAGTCAGTGTCCCCGCTCTTTGCGGAGACCGTGGAGTAGCCTCGTTCGATGCGTTCCCCAGACCGCGGTCAGTCATGGGTGGTGACATGGTGCAAGGGAGCAGCGCAGCAGGATCAATAATGCCTTCAAGTATAAAGGGCCAGTAGGCTGCCGATGGTGGGTCGCTCTACGCATCGCATCCCCCTCCCCACTGCAGCGCTCAATCTCCTCTGCAGCAGCCATGGCGCTCCCTCCCAAAGTCTACCAGTTCCTCGTGGGTCTTTTTGCATCCCTTGGTTCGCTATTGTACGGTTACGATCTCGGTGTTATCGCCCAGGTCATCGCCTCCGGAGCGTTCAAACGCGAGTTCAACGATCCTGGCTCAAATGCAAAAGGAGCCGTTGTGTCAGTCTTTACCGGTGGTGCCTTCTTCGGTGCCATGTTCGGTGGTCCCGCCGGTGACTACTTCGGTCGACGACTTACTATCTTGATGGGTGCCTGCGTAAGTACTCTCTAAGATATCTGCTAGTGCGTGCTATTGCTAACGCAATGATGATTGTAGGTTTTCATGCTCGGTGGTGCTCTGCAGACTGCTGCCGTGAACCTCAACTTCCTTTACGCCGGACGTGTCCTTGCTGGCGTCGGTGTCGGTTTCCTCGTCATGATCATCCCTCTGTATCAGTCCGAATTGGCTCATCCCAGCATCCGTGGACGTATTGGTGGATTGGTGCAGTTCATGCTGGGTATTGGTGCCCTAGCCGCCGCCTGGATCAGTTATGGCGTTGACATCGGGTTTCCGGACAGCGACAATGGTCAATTCCGAACATCACTGGGTATCCAGGTCGTACCTGCCTTTTTCTTGGCCGCTCTTATCATGCTGTTCCCCGAGTCACCCAGATGGCTTATCAGCAAAGGCAAGGTCGAGCAAGGTCTTACGAATCTGGCCAAGCTTCATGCCCATGGTGACACCAACGACGTTTGGGTTCAAGCCGAGTTCCAGCAAATTCAGGAAGCCCTCAGTTTTGAGCGAGAGCACGAGGCTCAATCATATCTCGAGCTTTTCAAGGACAAGTCGTGCTTCCGCCGCCTTTTCCTCGCCTGTGCGCTTCAGGCTTCCGTTCAGATGACTGGTGTTTCGGCTATCCAATACTACTCAGTTACCATCTACGAGCAGATGGGTATTGACGGTACCGAGGCGCTCAAATACCAAGCCATCTCTTCCGTTCTTGCTCTTTGCGGACAAGCGCTCTGCATTGCCTTCATCGACCGACTGGGACGTCGCTGGACTCTGATCGGTGGTAACCTTGGTAACTGCCTTACTTTCATCGTATCCACCATTATGCTGGCTGTCTTCCCTCCGGGTTCAACTGGAAACGCTAGTGCTTCGTGGGGCTTCATTGCCGTCACCTGGCTGTACAACTTCTGCTTCTCATCGACTTGTGGACCGCTATCTTGGATTATTCCCGCCGAGATCTTCGACACAAAGACCCGTTCTAAGGGTGTATCGATCGCCACCATGACGTCCTTTGCCTTCAACACTTTGATTGGCCAAGTCACCGAGCTCGGTATGGTATCTGTGGGATGGAGGTTCTACCTGCTGTTCGTTGTAAGTACTCTCGCAACTCAACAACTTGACCTTACACTAATCAAATCCTCAGATCTGCAACTTCACCAATGCCGTCTTCTTCTACTGCTTCTTGCCTGAGACCGCCAAGCGTCCTCTCGAGGAGATGAACTACCTCTTTACCAACGCTCCTCTCTTTGTTCCCAACATGAAGTCGTCAGAGTGGGGTCTCGACATCGAGCGCCGTGTTGAGGAAGTCGCTGCTAAGCAGGGCTCGGTCTCGCACGCCGAGCATGTAGATGTCAAGCACGCCATGTAGGAGGCCAACAATATGTAGTTTAGCTTCCTGTTCGAATTCACGTTTGGTGCTGGAACCTTTCATCACTATCTTCACCGTCTGGTTGGGACTGTGATGACGTGGATAATGAAACAATACCCACCAAAGCTTTTTTTCGTCTTTTTGCGACATCAAAGTGACTCTGAACGTAAGCGCCAGTGACAACGCAACTTCTGGACAGTTCTGATGTCATTCATCGAGGCCATTGCCATGTACAATGGCAATTCTAAGCATTGCTGTTCATTGGTTCATATAACATGGCGTGAGATATGAACTCTGAACGATCTTTTGTATCACATGTCTCTTATGTCGCAAAACTAGTGTTTTGTATCTCTTATGTCTCCCTTATCTGTCTACATGACTCAGAGAAGACTGTGTGATATCTTGAAGGATGTATCAGTAGACAAGACACGAGAAGTAGTAAACTAAGTCTCTACCGTGTGGTATTCACTATCACTAGTCAGCGTTGTAGGTACACGAAGACTCTTCTAGTGACGAGCCAATTCAGTCAGCTGATCAGTGCATTGTAGACATACTGGGCTCGCGCGTACTGCAAACAGCTTCTACCGTATGAAGCAAGGCACTGCTTATAATCTCTCTCATCCCACCTTACAACAGACGACCAATAACGCAAAGACCCTCAGGCAAGACAGCTCACCACGCAACAAAACAGGACTACTTTTACACTGAGACAGATGAAAAGCATGGCACAAGCAGAGGTGGTCATGCTTACGGAGTACACTACTGTGTATCCCACAGACGTTGCTCAGGCTACGTTCGAGCCGTCCGCATCTACGACAGCCGCCGTTAGTCTTTCCGCAAGCCGGAGCAGCAAGATCCCTGAACCCACTATTTCGCTATCATCGGCTATTCCCTCTCAAACATTACCGCCTACTTCTTCGACCACTGTTATTCCACTGGGTCCAGAACGCCACTTTGACGATACCCCCATCATCGTCATCCTTTCACTATTCATCCTCTTTGCTATTCTTCTCATCGCAATGATAGGTTACTTAGTCTTCATGCGATTCAAAGGCAAATGCTCCTCGTGCCAAGATCTGCAAGAGCAGATCTCGAAGTGGGAGTGCGGGGAGCTTAAGCGCATCACACCGCAAATGGTTATGAAGCGTGATATGCTAAACAAGACCCCCTGGGCACATTACACTTCTTCGGAACTCGACCAGGAAACTGGATATCTTGGGCACAAAATGTCCCGCGCGCCGACTATCTACCAGGTTGAAAGAGAAAGGGGGCCGTCGCTCTTCCAAAAGATAAAAGCTCGCATTGTCCGGGGAGGTAAGTCATCAGCCCCTCCAGACTTACCGACTAACTACAATGACGGGCATCGTTACTCCGCTCGATCCTCTGCATATTCGGCGTCTACATACTACGACCCCGAAAAGGATGACAAAGAGATGCGTATCTTCACCGAAGTCTCAGCACCAGATGTTTCCAGCGCTCGCGGACCCCTCCGCAAAGAGTCAGAAGAGCCAAAGCGCTACACTGCATACGCACCCACTGAGCATGATGAAGGCTATTCTTTGGAAAAGGAGATAAACATCGCCCACGCGATGGCGTGTCTGGAATCCAAAGAGTACAAGGATGCCAATGCAGTCCTACAGCGTCAATCCGCAACAGACTCTGAGATGCGACGCGCTCTGGGAGTCGTCAATACTAAAGACCAACAGATGAAGGTCGCACTACATCCCAGCCTGTACTCTGAGGTCGACAAGTCACAATATGAGTCGCCAGCTGACAACACCCCTTCGCAAGCTGAGGAGTACCAGCCGTTCAGCTGGCGCAAGAAAGGCCGTAGACCGCCAGATCTGGGAGATTAGCACGAGGCCGTTGAATAGTACTGGAACAGGGAATCAACCAGTGAGCGCAAGAGTCCGTAGCTATGGGCATATATTGGTCGGACCGGGAGACGAGCGAGAGATTACCTAGGATCCAGCAAGTTTTCGTATCCAGTTGCCGAGATAGAAGATGTAATGCAATTCAATAGTATATCCTTCACTTTCAGCTTTTTCTCAGCGTGTACTCAGTATAACCACAGGGGTATATAACATGCCCCCTTCATGCGTCGTATACAGTATCTCGGAATAGGCTTTCATGAAGTGATTCGGCTTCGATATGGCTGTCATCACTCGTCGGTCCGCCCGTGATCCGCACCAGGTGGGGATCTGTGAGGTATTCGCGATCATGAGTCAGCCTGCAGAATCCTGCACAACATTCGATACGAGTGGTGTCTGTGGTCTCAGTAGGTGTTGCTGGCGGTACCTTGAGTTGATGCAGGCTCCAGGCGTGGGCGCGCGACGCCGCATGCCTCCTTCCCGACTACCGGTACCCCTCATCTGGCAGTCGGACCGCCTGAGCTATTGCATCTACTCTTCGAACCGGTGCGCATAATCGCTGATCGCGGATTCCAGCACAAACAAACAGCGGACAGAATGCGCGTCTTCGCCAGCGTTTGGTTGATCGCCTGAGCGGGCAGGCAGGCAGTGCGAGCGATCATGGACGGCGCGCTAACCCTCCCGCTTCTTTCCCGGTGCAAATCGCTTCCGCCATCAAGCACACGACCAACTCCATCATGAGTATCTATGAATCCATCGGGACGACTTTGTCTTTTCTCAGTCTGATATGGATTCCGGCCACGCTGCTATGCTGCTTACCATGGGTCCAGAAACGTTAGGAAACACTTGCCGAGTGAACAAAAACAGGCCAACGCTAACGAAGTCAGAAATGCTCTATCTCCATAACTTCACGTTCTTCCCCGGGAAATGGTTGACGCAGCCTGAAAGAGCCGGATTCCTAAGTATGTCAAGTCTCCTAGGTCTTGGTGACGAACCGATGCGCCGTATAGTTCTTTGAGCTTATGTGATCAGAAAACCAGGTCATTCCCTTTCGCATTACTTCGAAAGACGGAGAGCGACTCTTCGCATGGCTTATAGCACCATTGGGCATATATGCTAAAAATGCCGATGCGTTCATCGGGGAGAAGACAGGCATCGACGTAGAGAGTACAGTTGCCTGGAATGCGCTACGCAACGACCCGGAAGCCAGACTACTCATCTACTTTCACGGGAATTCTGCCACGTTAGCACAGGAGCGCCGCACTATAGAGTATCGATCCTTCTCTGTTGGAGCGTCGGAGAAGATGTTTGTTCTAGCATTCGACTATCGCGGCTTTGGCATCTCAACAGGCGAACCCTCGGAATCTGGTCTACTGAACGATGCAGAGGCTGTGATTGACTGGGCTTTGAAGACCTGCCTGATACCTCCCGAGCGAATCGTACTTTTGGGACACTCACTAGGGACCGCTGTCGTATCAGGCATTGCACACCGTTACGCAACCAGTCTCGGCATAGAGTTCGCGGGCCTCGTTCTGTGCGCAGCCTTTACGAATGCTGGAAACGCATTTTCGTCATACTCAATCGGTGGCGTTGTGCCTGTTCTTGCGCCTGTGAAGGTATTCCCTGCCTTCCAGGCCTGGTTTGCCCGTAGGATGGTAGATACCTGGCGAAGCGACGATCGACTGGCAACAATGGCGCGTAAGTTGACGAAGCACCCAAACTGTTGTGGAGCCAAGTCGTGGTTTATACGACGATCAAATTTACTCAACTCCGTCTGATCCGATACTGATGAATCGAGTAGGTACCTGCTCGAGGTTCAAGCTGGTCCTTGTTCATGCCGAGAGTGACCAGACCATGCCATGGCACGAAACGGAAGCACTCTTCCAATCGACACTTCGGGCCGCCAAAGACGCGAGTCCGAATGAAGACGGCCTCAAGAGTCTTGAGGTGGTGGATTTGGGCGAAGCCGGACGACAAGAGGTTTGGCAGAGCAATTCGCGCAGCATCTCGAAAACGATTGCTAAGCACGGCGGTACGTACTCGTCCTGAGGAGTTGATCCCTGAGTGTGGGCGCTTGCAGATTGCGCGTTTCGCCTACTGTCAGATGAGATCGGCTGCCCCACATCCGTCTAACGCAGACGATGCACATCTGCACCCTTCATTTCCTGCCTTCAGCGATGCGATGAAGCACAACGCAGAGAACCTGAGGCCCACGGCACTGAGTACTCAGGTTCATGTCGATTTCGCACGATGCAGACGTTTACCCCACACGCAGTGATCTGGGCCGGCTTAGTCTGACATCCATGCGGTCATCGCCGCGCCTTCCGGCCTCGCTAGTTGGAAACAGGGCTAACGCTTCATACTAGGACACAACACGTCAATGACATGGTCGCCTGTAGCGCTCACCATCCTTCAGGTTTTTGGGCTTGCGGCTGAGACGGCACGAGTGTAGCTTTCTGAGGACATCATGAGGTGCGGCCCCTGGTAATCAGGCCCAGTCTCAGGATCCTGGTCGCTTCAGCAGAGGCTGGGTAGATCTGAATAGCTCAAGAATGTCGATGAATCATTCAGTCGTGAACAAGGCACCAAGCGCAAGGACTGACAAGCAGCAGCATCTGCGAAGAGACAGACTACTGGGAAGTCGGCTTCGCACCAAGAGCGTAGCGCATGTCTAATCGCTCTAGTGTATGAGAACGCGCAACCGCCAGGAGTTCCGACTTCTCGGCATGGCGGCCATGTGCGTCAGTCGATTCTCCACAACCCCCATGACGTCTCCACGGGTGGCTTAACCAGACCCGCATACAAAGCGCTTCACCGGCAACTGTCATCCTTCGTTTCAGCACCTGTTCATTGTTCCAGACAGTTTTCACGTACGACTTTCGCTTCACAACGCTCCGTAACCCGTCCATTCCTGTCGCTCTCACCTTACCTCTTGACACTTTTCGTTTGTGACCTGTTCTTTGCATTGAATAAACACAACTCTATCTACCTCGCCGCCAGATCGGACCTCGAACACTCTACCAACCAGAAATACTACCACAAATATGCCTGCTATCCACCATCTCCAAGCACGGTTTCTAGAAGACTCAAACGGCAACGGCGGAATCTCACCGACGGCTATTGCCCTCATTGTATGCCTCGGAATTGTACCATGCATCATCTTGATCTGGGCAGTCTGCTACCTCTTCTGGGCCTATCCATATGACCGCAACTGCTGCTGCATCAAGCGAAAGCGCCGCCCGGAGCCGCAAAGCGTACTGAACCAAGCGCCCATGAGCGAGGAGACCCTATTCGAAAAGCAAGGTGTGGCACCTCCACAAAGACCTTTCTCTGTTCAGACCAGGACCGAGTCGGGGAGCTCAAACAACAATGGGCGCCTGCAGAAGCAGCAGAGGCCTGGCAGTGGAGTCGACACCCGGGGCGCGCGCATGAGCCAGCAAAGCGTTATGAGTGCGAACACCATGACGTACGCCCAAGAGCCTCAGCGATTCGTATGAGGATCGAGCCATATACCACGATATGAAGGTATCTTTTTACCAGCGCATATCCGCACCAAGATGGCCGCGACCGGCACCAGCGCCTTCACTGCGGCAGCGGTCACAACCCGCCTCTGAAGACATTGTCGGTATTCCACCGCCACGGAAAGATGGCGGGCCATCCAAAGACCAATCGGCAAACTCAAGACGAAGGGTTATGATATGCCAACGAGGCACATCTACCACGAGATCAATACCTCAAGCTTAGCAGCGCAGCCACAAGAGTCGCGCCTGCGACACGCTTTACCCTTCGCGATGAGCAGCTGGAGAGGATGCAGAAGGCGCTGGGTCGAGAAGCTCAGTAACAGATAGAAATCTGCTGAGCTATCCTAATCAGGACTGTACACTACTTTGTTTGCATGCATGCGGGATATTTGCATTTGGGTTGGAGTTGTTAGCATTGTAATTTAGACGACGTTATGACATATCACACGTAATGGAAGTAATCAACTACACTATTTTGCCTTGTATGTCACAGGATCCAAATGATGTGAGCCTGATGGCGGTGTGGTGGGTCTCGTGCGGTTGATAGGCAGAAGGGTCTCACACGGAACTTGAGGCTCGACGAACCCTTGCAGTGGGGTAGTGGGCAGGCATATCAGTCGCGACTTCCCAAGCAGAAGGCGGAGTGAAATCACATCTACCTTTGAATTGCCTTAGATCTAATTTCCTAATTCGCCGTACCGACACGCGTAGCCATCAGGAAGTCGACAGAAACGGAGACGGCCAGATTACTTGTCCGAGGACTGCGACGAACGTCGGCGCTCTTATCTCCGCGTCGCCATCGCGTTTCCGCCACCGTAAATCGTCCAGAGGCTACGTCAAGATATCGTACCAAAACAAATCCGTCGCAGGCAGCGCCCCAAGGGTGCTCTGCGACACGCCGCAAATACCGCCACCATTCCACCCTCGGTCTACTTTTCGCGTTCTCTTTCTCTGTCATCACAAGCATTGTTACTTTCAGCGCGCCTGCGAATGCTACGAAGTTACCTAGCCAGACCCAGCGCCCGCAGCGTCATACACAAGAGCGCGGGATTCGGCGGCGCGAGCTACATCAGTCTGAGCCTGAGCACGCCCATCAGAATTGACAACAAAGGGAATTCGACCATGGCCGGGCAAGACAGCGAAGAGGGGAGGCAGGGAGGTCAGCAGGCTATGCTGGCGAGCCAACGCGCGAAAGAGCAGGGAGAGGCGCAGGGGAGGTTTTCTAAATGGTTTCCTCTGTCAGCAAAAGCGGGATTTGACCAGTGGTGGGCAGGCCTATCCCCCATGGCGTAAGTGGTGACTGTATGAATTGCATGTCAGACGTGTACTAACTGCGCATGCGAATCTTAGAACAGAGCACCGCGTCCTCTCTTACATCCCACATCTCCAGAGTCCACCCACACATACCCAAACGGGCACCGCTCCTGCCTCGGCCGTCCCATCCACAACAGACCTCGATGCGCCACCGAAGCACCCCGAAGACCACACCACAACGAATGCCACCGACGACCCATACGGACCACGGAGATGGAACTCACAAATGGTGGAATTGAGTGGCAGGGACCGCGCGCTGAACGAATTCTCCGTGGAGCGATTGGGCGAGGACGTGGAGAACAACCTGGTCATGTTGCATGGCTACGGTGCCGGATTGGGCTTTTTCTACCGCAACTTCGAGTCGTTATCCCGCGCTGAAGGCTGGAAAGTCTTTGCGCTGGACCTGCTCGGCATGGGCCGGAGCAGTCGACCGGCCTTCAAGATCCATGCCAAGGACAAGGAGGGAAAGATCGCAGAGACCGAGTCCTGGTTTGTAGATGCGCTCGAGGAGTGGCGGATAAAGAGGGGGTTAGATCGCTTCACGTTGCTGGGACACAGCTTAGGAGGATATCTAGCTGTTGCCTATGCACTGAAGTATCCGGGTCATCTTAACAAGTTGATACTTGCGTCTCCGGTCGGTATCCCTGAAGACCCGTACGCGGTTGATGAGGAGATGCCTGATCCGCAAGATTCGACTATGGCGAACGAGTTCACTCAGGATGCGGCCGACACGAACCGGAACGGCGTACAGCCATCGACAGCGGATAACAACAACTTCATGAATCAGCGAAGCAAGAATGGTACGTACCGTCTTGGACAGATCTGTGAAATCTGACTGACTCTTTGACAGAGGGCACTGCGAAAGAGCCCAAACAGCCACCGAAAAGACGATTGCCCTGGTGGCTTTATTCTCTCTGGGAGGCCAACATGGTCTCGCCCTTTACCTTTGTACGTTGGTCGGGACCCCTCGGCCCGCGTCTAGTATCAGGCTGGACGTCACGCCGCTTCTCACAACTTCCGGAAGAGGAGGCTCAAGCTCTGCATGACTACAGCTATGCTCTGTTTCGCCAACGGGGTAGTTCTGAGTATGCGCTGTCGTACCTGCTTGCTCCCGGTGCATTCGCCCGAAGTCCGATGATTCGAAGAATTCAAGGCGTTGGTCGACAATACCTACAAGCGCATGACAAGCCCACAGTGGACGGTGACACCGCCGCCAATCCTACCGCACAGCGCGAGACGAGTTTTCCAGTCGTCTTCATGTACGGTGAAAATGACTGGATGGACGTCGCTGGTGGGTTTGCTGCCGCAGAGAAGATGAAGCAGGAGCGGGAGCGGATACTAGTGAAGGCATCTGCAGACGAGAAGAATGATCATGGTGTAGGCAAAGTCGTCATCATCAACAAGGCTGGCCACCATGTGTACTTGGATGGATGGGAGCAGTTCAACCGCGTCATGTTGGAAGAAATGAATGAAGTTCGACAGAGAGAACAGGCAAAGAGGCGCGCATAGATGTCGACGCATTAGACGGATAGCATTTTTGGGCGTTTTGTTCACGTATAGCGTTCGATTGCGAACACATTGGATCTACCACCCTATTTAGTATAGAGCCTCTTTAACCGCAGGCTTGCTTCAACTCATGCAAATTCTCAACCCACCACAACCAGTGTCTTACCTTGTATCGGTGAATGGTACCCCTCAGTTCCGCAAGACGATCTCACATGAGCCCCTGCATACTTCACCCCCGCCCCGTTCCGTACACATCGCTCACTACTGCAGGGCGCAAGACGTGTCACCCATTTCCGTGAAGGATAGCCAGCACGGCCTTCCTATCGCATGCTAGCATTGTGGGGTAAACAGGTATGCCAGCAATCCATGTCTTCACCGCCCCAGCTAAGCGAGCGGGTGCATCATCGGAGTGCCAGACCGACTTCGCGCCGGATGCACAGCATCTGATATAGGCACGCGGGCCCCTCGTACGCGGTGCGCATTCTCTTTCACGTGCACGCAACCGTTTGGTGGTGGTAGAGAGAAGGATACGACCCGAGGACAAGATCCCATAGCAACACTCGCACCTCGTCGCATTCACATGTCATTTCTACCGACACGCGCACGGCATCCCCAGACAGAGGCGTGATGGCGCCGCAAACACTCGACCAGATTGTCAAAGGCGCGCCGGCGCCGAGCACGAGCTTGCACAGGGTGGCCGAGAGCGTCGAGCGAGACCCGCCGCCCTATTCAGCGTCCATCCTCGCCGACCCGCCCCACGATGCCAACGGCCGCCTGCCCACCATCAAGACGCCGCGGCCGCCCGTCCTCAGCGACCCGACGTCGCTCCTGCCCTCGTCGCCGCCCCAGATCTACCTCAACCTGCTCATCCTCGAGGCCAGCCTCCGCAGCCAGTACCTCACCCTCCGCGCCCGTCGGCGGCAGAACACCTTCGTCCTCACACTGCTCGCCGTATGGATCGGCTTCTGCTTCTACCTGCTGTGGCTGCGCCCGCGAGAGGATGGCAAGGGCATTGGCGGATCGCAATACTGGCTCGTTGACATGCTGCAGAAGGTGGGCTTCATCACAGGCGTCGTCACCGCTCTGCTCTTCTGGGCGACTGGTCAATGGGAAAGAGGAGTACGATGGCCACGACGCTGGATTGGAGTCGCGAACCGAGGCCTGAGGGGTATGAACGCTAAGATTGTGGTCATTAGAGGGCCATGGTGGAGGGAGCTGGTGGAATGGGGACACTTCATCGTGCCATTTTCCGGCGGGCTATGGGGAGGCGAGCAGGGCGGCAGTTCATACCACTTCATCAACATTGCGCAGGAAAACAAGCACGCCTTGGACGGCGGCCGACCCCGCCATCGCATAACGGAAGACGGCAAGGAATACGCCGAAGAAGACATTGCGCCTGGAGGCGACTACATCAAGCTGCTCCTGCTCCCGAAGCCTTTCACGCCCGACTTCCGACAAGAGTGGGAGGTTTACAGGAACGAATACTGGGCCACCGAAAACGAGCGACGAGCTGAGCTGCGGAAGCGCGTCCGGGCCAGACAACGCGAGATTGCAAGAGAAGAAGGAGGCTGGCTTTGGTGGACCGGCTGGCGGGGATGGAAGCGCGCTCGCGGTATCAGTGGACGGAGTGCAGACGTAGAAAAGAGCGGACACCACCACGGTCACAGCCACAGTCTCTCTCACACTGGCTCGCGGAAACGGCGACTGAGCACCTTGCAAGCCGCCAGAGGAAGAGACGGATCGCATTCGAGAAGTTCGTCCCGTAGCACGACGCCCACACCAGACGTAGACATGGACGGTCGCCTCCGCCCAATGGAAAGCCATGAGCGCCGGTGGAGCAACGCGTCGAATAGCACAACTACAAGTCGCAAGTCTTCTCTCCGCTCCAGCACAACCATTACACAGGGCAACGCGCAGTCGGCACGCCAGCCACCGCAAAGACCTGCCGTCAGCTCTCGACCCAGTACGCCTAATGAAGGCAATCTACCTTGGCAGAGTAAGAGGGCGAGTATGCTTAGCAACGCCTCAAGCATGAGTGAAATGGAAGAAGACGGCGGGTATGAGGCTGCCACGGAGGGAAGAGCAGACATACGACCAACCCCGAAGAGAAGGACGAGTCGGGAAGGCGGTGGCAGTGGAAGGGCTGAAAGCGCCTAGAACGACTTTGACATGTCGTGCACTGGGGTGGTTGATTGATATTCGTTGACGGGTTACGCATCTACGTTCTGGCCATGTTTTATGATACTCTGGTTTTTAGCGCGTGGGTTCTTGTAAGATCAGCGAGCATTTTGTGATGGAGCGGGTGTATAGTAAGAAAGGGGAGGCTTACATACAAAAGAGATATCCATAGTATTCATCAGCATGAATTCGAATGTACCAGCCCAGCTGCCTCGTGAGGTTCTATCCATCGTAACCCAGAGCCAAAAGCAGAGTACCGATAAACCTGAAGAACAATGAAATAGTGTAGAGAGCCGAACTTGGCCGGCACATGACCGAAGGAGCTTTTGCTCTGCGAGAGGGGTCTCAGGAGCGCACCTCCCGTTTTGACAATAATGTTATCTTTTTGTTAAAGAGAAATTTACCATCAAGCAACATCTGGCCGGTTGGCGCAATGGTAGCGCGCAGCCCTCCTAAGGCTGAGGCTGTGGGTTCGAGTCCCACATCGGTCGCTTTTTGCTCCCGTGGACGTCCAAACATCCCATTCTCATCCAAGAGAACGAAGTGTGGCATCGGCCGCATTGGCGCTGAATTTTTGCGTGGTGGCGGGGACTGAAAGTGGGGTTGGCTCCACGAGTATCCAGGAACATCAAGCAATCTACCCAAACATCTAGATTCTGTCTCCCTAAACAAGGCCTATCGCAATGACCTTCGTACTTGAAGTTTCTATGGTATTCAGCTTCTCTTCGAATGAAGTTCAATAAATGTGTGAGAGACTAAGGGGCTGAACCTTTTTGTCACTCTGCACTTAAGTTGAAGCGACAGACGAACAAACTCTGCCACACACCAGCCCAACCTTTAGGAACGCTTAATTACGATTAGGCTCGACCTTCAAGACTTTGCCTGAATCTACAGCACTTTTGAAGCCGCTGTCATGTGAAATGAAGATAACGTGATTTGAATATTCCTGGCTAACCACTCAGTTCTCTCGATACCCGAATGAAGGCTTAAAGGATGACGGCCTCAGGGCCACCGGCAAATAAGCCAGCACTTGAGCAGTCAGGTTTCTACGGCAGTGTGCTTATACAGTATTCTTCATCTACTGCCCACCTTCTTATCACAACATTTGATTTCTGTAAACACTTCACTTCTTGATCGCGGTACGAGGTCTTGAGGAAAGCACACCCTATTCGATGAAAGTAATCGGGTAGAGGATACAATGGGGGCAGGATACATTGAACAGAAAGGGTCGCAGGATGCCAATATCAACACTGGTAGAAGGCGCTCGATTGATGGCGCACTTTCTACACACATGCGGCACACATTTCGAACGCTCAGTGACGTGCCTCCTGAAGCTTACTGATACACTGTCAATGCTACAATAAGCTGGAAGGCCTTTATGAGCCGCGCAATAGTAGCCTCATTCTGTGTAGCGTAGTAACATAGTGACAAGTATCAATGCAGCGGTACAGGTACTGTCTCCCTAATCATGTAGCTTGCGGAACCCCGCCTATATGTCCCTTCCTCTTTGTCTAAAGACCAGCAGGTATTCCTTGACATTAGAGGCTGCGCCACGAAGGTTGCCGAAAGCCTATTCCGTGAGGGTGACACCAAAGGTGACTTGTTTCATGCCGGTTACTACTCACTGTAGGTAAGGTCTCTGTGCCAAAGATACGCATTAAACGATCATGAGCCTAGAGCACAATGGTTCGCGTCTTCGTCATGCATGCCCGGCCATGTACTCAGGTACGAGACTTTGGAGACGTGGTTTGAGGCGATTGGTCCAGGAATACGAGTTAAGACGCGTTGGTCCTGGCCGAAGGCTTTGTAACAAATGCCGCATTCAGTGACATCTTGCAGTCAGGTAGCGATGAACCTTCCAGCCAGTGTCCGCGAGAATGCTCAAGTTGGTCGCTGAGACATGTTCCACGCCGGGTGAGTTTGAAGGAGGGAAGTGTCAAAGCTGCTCAGATTCAGCCTGCGAAGATACGTTCTACGACTGGTATCTAGTATCGCTGGCGAGCCTGTCTGAGTTAGACAGAAAATGAGATTCAAGATAATTACCTCTTTTCGCGAAAGAGGCGCTAGAAAGCGTCGCTCCTGTCATTCCTGTCACTCACCGTGCCTGCGGTAGTCACCGAACAGGTTGCTGCTCATGCAATCGGCAAGACCAGACTGCACATCCGCATGTGCAAGGCTCGCATAATGTATACGGGTGCACAACGACGGCCTGCGTTCAGAGCGGGAAGTAGTTTGTGATTGCTATCTAAGCGACGAGTGCTCAGGAGCTCGCGTTACCGCGCCGGCGAAACGGCAGCTGCAGCACTACTGGTAGCCCGAGCCAAAGCGAGCCGACAACGACAAACGTCATCAACCCAACCCCCCGTCCTCGCGATACCCTCAAACCCGTAAAATCCAGCTCTTTCGCAATCACAATTAAGTTCGGCCAATGAAAAAAGTGACAGACCGTCAACGCCTTAAACTTTGAAACTCCGGAACAGTCGGAAATTGCCTCCTTGGGTATAATCTCATGCACGTGTTGGCTGACGTGCCTTTTCCAGTGCCGCAATCCTGCCGCCTCTGCGTATCTCGCTCTTCGCAACCCCCCACACGGTGACCAACTTGATCGTTTTCTGCGCCCGCGCGACGATAATGACTGTGTGCAAAACGCTAATGGGACAAAGGGAAATGAAATGAATGGGTAAGACGAGGATGATCTGCGATATGTCAGTCGATGCTCGGTCGTGTCTCGGAAGCAATCGGCTAGCGCTCAGACATGGGAGTGAATGATGCGCTGTGTAAGGGAGGGGGCCTGTGGCTGTGCTGGCTGCCGTGCGCGACGGTTTGAGCAGGTACGCACCTCGGAGTTCCAGCTCGTTTACAGGACCAGCTCAATGTTCTGCATGTATCGCGCCGGTGCCTTCACACACGCTGCACTTGTTGCTGCCGGACCGCTTGCACGATGGGCAGCCCTTGCCGTTGCAGGCGTCGCACTTTGTGGTTCCATTGCCTTTGCACGTCGGGCAGTCCTTCATGGTGCGTAGTTGGCCGGATCGAGCGGGCGGAAGTGGTAGCCGGGGTAGATGAGGCGCAGCTGAGAGAAGCAGAGAGAGGGAGAGATGAAGTCGAGTTGCTTTCTGAGAAGGGCAAGATATCTTGGACGGGACCCCGTATTTAGACGATCGTAACGGAGAGAAGGGGCGCAGTCGCGGTGAAATAGTCCGTTGATCTTGATTTAGGAAGGCAGTACCACGGTCATCAAGATGAGCAAGACAGTAGAGATGTTTCGAAACACACAGTAGTCCACGGGCCCGATAAGTGTCAGGGTCGCTTTATATAATTTCCCCCATTTGGGCCCCGCGCGCGCACCCGTACCTCATCATCGCAATCTCACCGCGGCCGCGAATAGTGAAGCAAGCTCGCAAGCTCAGCCCCCGTCGCTTTGCATCCAACAGCTGTCCAAGCTCCTCACGATAGCTTTTCAGGGTCCTCCAGTGGGAGTAGCATCACGAGAACAGGGCGGCAGGCCATTCGGGTCCACTTGCACTATTTACCATGCCTCTGGAGAGGATGATGTCAAGGTGCATCACCGGAGGGCGATGGAATACCTCAAAGCCCCTGCCTGCTCTGATGCACGGAATGCTCTTCCCCTTCCAAACAGCTCCCGTGGGCCAATCTCTCTTGGCCTCCTTGTGCTCCTGTCGCATGCAAACAGCTATAGCATGGGACCTACTGCCGCCACAGCCGGCCTATGTCTTCATAGTGAATGCGGCGTTAGGATCGTGCCGCAACCGAGCCAGCTGTAAGAATCCCCGAAACCATAGATGCATATCCTGATTGGGCTTGCAACGTCGACGAGGACGTCAGACTGCATCATCCTAGGCGTCTGCATCAATCAGCAATCAGCCACGCTTCTAGCGCGTTCCTCTCAAGATTGCGCGCAGCGTCAGGTGTCACTATGGACAAGCAACGTCATTAGACGCCCCAATGGCCTTTCCGCGATGCCAGCAGTACAGGGCGCGGTACCAGTCAAAGGAGACGCTGTATCCGGCACGGAGCGGGCGAAGCTACGGGCACGTTGTTGAAGCATTGGTGAAGAACAACCCTTGGTGGAGGATAGAGGGTACATGCCTGATGCAGAAGGCACACACGTGGCAGGCTGCAGGAGCGTTAGTACGAACCAACATGGTGGGTAAGGCTGAATTTTGGTTGGTGGCGCCGTTTGATACATCGGCAAGGAACAGGGGTGGCTTGGTTTTCCTATGTAACCACGTAACTCCACCTTTCAGGCACAACGCTGGATGCCTTCAGACGTGTGTACGCTCGCACTAGGAAAACCCTCGCTCTAAAGCATGCACAGGTAGGTTCTGAGTAAGAACGACGGCCTCATGCTATCACTACTCGATCACATTCACCAGTGAAACGTGTGATGGGGAAGTCGTAGACTGGCATTAAGCCATTCAACGGGTCGACTGCATGTCCACCAAAGAAAAGTGATACTATGTCTCAGGTCCGTTTTACTATGGTAAAAGAACACAGACTTGAAGAATTCCATTACTATCCCCTCTCGGAAGACCCGACTATCACTCCGACATTGTTCTAGACCATTTCACCAAATGCTACACTGATATCCGACTGGTCTAGAAAACAGCACTAATATCCTTGGTATCCCCAAGACATCACCAGCAAAGTAGGTTCAGATGCCGTGTACTCCTCTTCGTAGCGTAACCCTAGCGTTTCCGAGACGAACGCCCAGCCAAGTAACACGTTGAGACAGCGGACCGAAGCCAAACTCGAGGTTCCCAGAGCAAGCAGCGAGATGGCCTGATGCGCAAAGCTTAAGTATTGCAAGCCGGGCTTGTGAGGGTCCCGACCGGGTCATGTCTCAACGGAAGTATGGCCCCGAGTCTAGTCCACCTTGCCATGCTGTGCCACAAAAAGTCTGGTCAATTGTGCCATCCCCATACAAAGGAAATACGGACAGCTTCATCCTACAAGTCTACCTCGCTTGAGAGCCCCATCGACCTTAGGTCCGTCATGCTCCAGACGGAAGCGCACCTGCTCAGTTTCTCTACTTGTAAGACGTGGTGCTGTAAAGCAACATTCCCGTTTGCGTGGGAATAAGGACGCCAAGTAGCACGTGAAACAGTCTACCGTCAAACCTTCTACAGAACACCATGTTCCTCTCAAAACATAGTCTGATCGGGCTCTGGTGAACATGCGAGTAGTCAGGCCACAATGGACTCGCGGCCTAAGGCTGGTAACATGCCGCAATTTCGGACGCGAGGCGTGAAACCAAGACTCAACGAAAGGTAAAACCACCTCTCTAGGATCCGAGAACAAGTAGGATCAGGCATGTTTAAGTCTGACATAGCGACGCTCACAAGAGTTCCTCATTTCTTAAACTTTCTGCAAGTTTGTCCGGATACTCAACGGCTTCCAACGAGAATAGATTCTTCTCTACAACTTAGCCTTCACAGCCGTCCTCTCCATACCCGGTCCATCCCAGATATCCCGTTCAACAGCTCTCGTGTTGATATACTGCATGCCCAATTGCTCCACCTTTTCCACACCCAGTAAACGCATGCACGTCTCCGTTTCCGCTTTCAGAACTGTTTTTCACCATTAGCACCAACATTGTAGAAGTGGGTTAAGCAACGAAGACTTACTCTCAAGAACCCTCGCAACACCCTCCTTACCACCCGCACCCAATCCAAACAACGCCGCCCGTCCCACGCCCACACCTTTGGCACCGAGACAGAGTGCCTTGACTACATCTGTCCCGCGCTTGATGCCGCCGTCTACCCATACCTCGATGCGATCGAATACTTCAGGACAGTACTTTCGTATCTCGAGAAGTGTGTGCACAGCCGGGGGCGCGGTGTCGAGAGCCCTGCCGCCGTGATTTGACAGGATGATAGCTTTGACATGGGGTGCGTGTAGAGAAGCCAGGTAAGCATCTTCGTGCGTTTGAATGCCCTTGAGTACAATGGGTTTGTCCGTGTGTTTCGCTAGCCAGGGCAAAGTAGAGCGCCACGTCAAATCTGCGGCTGTGCCCCAGAATAACGACTGACCCATACCCATTGACTTCGGCTTTGGTTTCTCATCTTCGCTGGCTTGTGTGGGTGTAACTGCGCTCGTGCTAGTCTTAGACAGCGATTGTGATTCCTGGACCGAGGCACGGACGGGGAGGTTGGAGCCGACGTTCTTGCTGCGCTCGTCGTGTTCGCGTTTACCGGGAACGGGCGCGTCGAGCGTGAGGCAGATAAATTTTATACAATCCAGTTTGTTCATGCGGGCGAGGATGGCTTCGCTCTTCTGGCGCTCGTTCTGGACGTAGAGTTGCCAGCCGAAGACCTGGCCAGGGGTGGCGTCTGCGACGATTTGTTCGGGCGTCATGGACGCGTTTTGTGAGATGATTTGCATGGCGCCGTATTGCGAGCAGGCTTGCGCGATGCCCCATTCGCCGTCGGCGTTGGCGAGGCGCGCCATGGCGGCGGGCGAGACGTAGATGGGGAGTTTGACATTGTTGCCGATGAAGGACGTCGATGTGTCGCAGCGGGTGCAGTCGACGAAGACGCGTGGCCGCAGCAGTATGCTTCGGTATACGCTGTTGTTGAAGGACTTGCTCTGCAGGTCGTCACTCGCAGAGAAGTAGTATGCCCAGGCCTTGTATGGTATCTGCTTCGTTGCCACCTCTTCAATCTCATCGAGGTTCAGCAGGCTGTCCAGATCCACCGGACCTTCATCCTGCGCCTCGCCCGTCTCTTCTGGTGTCTTCTCCTCTTTCGGGAGGGTGTCTGTGTTGATGGTGCCGAGCTTATCCGAAGCTTCGAGGTTCTCTTCGAGGATGCCCGGCGGGTGGATGGGATCGTATTCTTCGGTTGCGTCGGTGCCGGCGAGTTGGAGGATGACTTTGGAGCCGCCAGGGTGCTCGGGGATGAAGCGCGTTACATCGTAAACGTTGCCGTAAAGAATTACCCAGCAGCTTTCCGCTGTGTTGTGCTGCGCGACTGATTGGGAGTGTCAGCGATGAAGGTTCGATCGGAATGCGGAAGCGGTAACTGACCCTCGCCATAGTCGAAAACCTTTGACATGGTGCCGTGCGTTCAAGTAGTGGTACAATATGGAATATTTACAAGCACACACGCAGAAGACGCAAAACAGAACCCTACAAGAAAAGTGATGAAGATTGGAGAACGAATGAGTTCAATTGTTCCGACGACAGAGCAGACGCCGACGTCTTTTAGCCAACCCCAACCTGTGGGGAGCTCGGGGTAGTGCCATCCCGAGTCAGGCAAGACGGGCCGCATTTCTTCTTTTGCAAAGCTACCCCAGGTAAGCCGGATACGCTGATGGCTAATTGGCGGTCATTTGCTTTCCAGACTGTCTGACCTGATGCTGTGCTAGCTCCAACGCGGTGCACTGCTGCACTCTCTCTTCAGTACAGCTACACAATGGCGATATTAGCCTCAATTGTCGCGGCATTTGAACATCAATCATCCACATCACTGCATTAAGTCCTAGTGCTCAGCACTTATGCGAACCATGCGGTATTTAATGCGATTGTTTCCTGAGTGCTTTTGTATTCTATGAGTATACCTGGCCAGATCCGCGGCTTGCGAAAAAAGATGCAGCATCGTCTGTCGCATGCCTCGTCATTAAACAGCCTCTGGACTAGATGCGGTGCCTTCGCTTTTCGCTCTCCTCTCACGTTGCAGCTCTCGAGTTCCTTTCCTCTGCCAGCCGTCGTTCAAATGATTTAAATGAAACTTGACTCTATCCTTCCTCGACTCATCGAATTCGTTATCCCTTGCATGTTCGTCATTGTCGTCATCGCTATCAGCACGTGTCGATGCTATGACTAGGTCTTCTAACTCGCTGTGAATATCCCACCGAGAGGCACGCTTTGACCTTCTGAACACTGATGGGCTAGGCCATGTTTTGGGAGCCGATTCTGAGATGGAACGCGAAAGTGTTGGTCTTGCCTGCCTTCCACTTCGCACTGCTTCTCTGCGCCGATGTAGTTGATACTTGGGTCGCTGGAGAAACCGTCCGCGTTGGGAATCATCTGCGCCAACTATTAATATGACATCCAGACTGGATATCAAATGGACCAAGATGCTAGACGATGGAATGTTCAGGAGCGAGGGGGGAAGATGTTCACCAACCCTCAACCGGAAGATCCGGCCAGCCATGCTCTAGCTCGCCCTCATTCGCAGCCTCTTCACCCCAGTCCATCTTCTCGAGCTCGTTACGGAAGAAGTCTTGTTCCTCCTCAAGAACGCCAGGTTTGGCACCTAGGCTTTCAGGGTATCGCTTGAGGTTGTGCCAGTGTGTAAGTGATCGTAAAGCCTGCTCGAGCGGAACACTTTCGTCGACCTCGGCATCCACGTCACTTCCTGCCAACCAGTCGTCTCGGAGCTCAGGTCGACAGTGCAAATAGACTGCAGTGATGACGCGCATGTTCGATTGTCGCCACTTGCGACCGCAGTACGGAACTTGATTCTTGAATAGCTTGAGTGTGTACAGGCGTAGTTCCGGCTGTGGTACCTTCAGGCTCTTGCGAAGGAATTGCGAAGACTTGTACGAAACAAGCATGAGGTTGCGATGTGCTTTGTTCTTGCAGATCTTCTGCATGATCCGCAGGTAGTTGATTGACGTGAAGAACGCGCGCCATGAGAAATTGGTGATTGGCTCTTTAGGCAGCTCGTTTGTTGGAAAGCCGAGCTCGTCTACCTCTGGAGGTTGTAACTGGGCAGGTGGTAGGGCTGGCTCAACACCTGATTCGTTCGAGTCTTCTCTGGACAGACGGATTGGGGGTGGGACGGCGTCGTCTTCGTCAGATTCGCCGTCATGCGCTTCTCCTTCGTTTCCTCCAACGCGGTCCTCTTCAGAGGCGTTCCTGGAATGTGTCCGGCAAAAGCTGAAGAAGTTTAACTCTTCCTGCTCACTCTTGAAGTTTACAATCTTCTCGACCTCTTGTAATTGTAGTAGCTTCAAGATCAACGGAACGTAGCTTGAGTCAACGAGTAGCTGCGTGATATACTCGAATTTGAGGATGTGGGAGACTTTGAACCATTTGAGGATCAATATAAGAGTGCCGGTGACTGCTTTATCCAGGACTTCTTGTGTGCGCATCGCGTCAAGCTCCTCATTCGTCGCCACGGTGCTACCATGTCCGTTCATGCCGCTCATGTCAGGCCGTCCGGCTGTCGTGCCGTTCTGGTTATCCTGAAATTGGAAACCGCTCTGGAGCCCGTTCGCGCCACTGGACTGTGTCACAAGTGCCGTGACGTGCGCAAGGATGGCTTTAATCAGAACAATTATTAGTGACTGTAGATTAGGCAGTGCGATGCGCTAGTGTACGGTCAGCTGGTGTATCCTCATTGAGTTTTGGCCCACTCACGTAGAATTCCTCGACCAAGTGCAAGCGCTCCTCATTGCTGCCGGGTGTGAGTTCTTTTGACTGAGCTTTCCCACTCGGTTCGAGTGACAGCTCCTCGATATCGGGGTTCTCGTCAGGGCCTGTCCAACCGCGCTCGTACTTCATAAATGCGACACGTTCCTCCCACAGCTGCTTCATGGCACGCGTGGCCTTCATGCGTTTAGCGAACAGTTCCGCGGCTTCCAAGATAGAAGCAGGAATATCTGAGCCCTCCCACTTGCGTCCCACCAGAAGGTCCTGTAGGTCGGTCGAGCCCTTTCCACCCAACTTGTTACTAGACTCGTCGAGTGGCGGATACAAGAACGGGAACAGTTGGTTTGTCTGGTAGTTCTGCTTCTTTCCACCTTTGCCACCGGGGCCTGCAGGCGAAGGAGGAGGTGAGGGTGCCGGAGTTGCGATATGAACCGGTTGATGCAGGATGGATGTGCTGTTCCCATTTTTGTCGCCTAACCCAGAGCCGAATACATGGTTGCCAGCGACCTTGTTGGGGTGGTTCTTTAGTGGCGGCAAGATGGAGTTGTTCTCTGGCTCAAGGGGGAACACGGGAAGCGGTGGATTGTACGCAGGATACTTGGAGCTTATCTCTTGTCTGAAGAGGTGATAATCAAGAGGGGACGCGGTGATGAGTGGCTGACCCTTGGAATCCTCTGACTCGAGGCTGGTGTCCCGGAAGGTCTCTTTGACCTTGGCAACTTCTGCAAGACCGCCGAAAGTCACCAACATGGCCTTCCAGAGTAGCAGTGAGATCTTGCTAAGCGGTAGATTGATCGACTCGTCCCACCGTAGTTTCGCGATAAGATCCACGAATAGCATAAGAAGACCTGGCTTCTCTAAGTCGAGGATGGCGCTTCTGAGGGTACGGCTATCCTGCGTCTTTTCCTCATCACGTGCGACTTCCAACAAGACATAGACTGCAGTCATGGTACACCAAATTTCGCGTCGTTCTGCCTCTTTCGAATCGCGTTGAGCATCAGGTGTGACATCCGCGCCGCATGCTCGCAGGAGCGACGAGCTGAGTGCGTCCACGATGGTCTGTACGCCATTACTCTCGGCGAGTAGGTGCACATTGCGCTTAATGAGCGAGGCCTGCCGACCTGACTTGATATATGCAGAGTTGCGCGCTGAAGTCGTGCTAGACTCTGTTGCCTCACCCGCAGCTGGGTCAGGCAGCCCTGCAGTCTCATGCCAGCACCCAAGGAGGACATAGACCAATGCTTCCAGTTTCTTCAACCTCAAGACAGGGTCGACTTCCTTGAGTCCCCCCAATAGATGTCGCACGAAGTCGTCGTGTTGTGTCGTCGTCGCCGAGGCCCAGTCCAAGCCGTCCTCGCCATTGGACACGTCGTTTAGGCCATGAAATGCGCTCCACTCCAATGCATAGGACGCCTGGGTCTTGAGCAGCATTGCCTGCTCCTCGACGGCATACGAGAACCACTCCTCCAGCTCCTCCTCGAAACATGATGCGTCATCGTATGTGAAAGCGTACGGGGCGGGCTCGACCTTGGGTATGCCCCTCACGAGGTTCTGCAGTTGTGCGAGCGAAAGCGAATCGTTCTGTGGCGTGTCGGGCGGCGGTACAGGCGGTGCGGGCGGGGGCAGGTTCGGCGCGGGCGTAGGAACTGAATTGCCTCGTTGCAGGCCGGGGCGGGCTGGCAGCGTGAGGGGAGGCCCTGCTTGGGGCTGGTCCTGGTCCTGTTGCAGCAGTATGCGCTGCTGCTCGGCGGTATCGAGGGGCAGATTGAGCTCTTCCTCGGGCTCCGCCTCAATGACAGGGAAATCAGCGCTCGAATTCCCGATCAGCTCAGCTGCATCCAGTATGGGAGGCACGAGTGGCTCTCCGGGCACGTCGCTGTCGGCCATGGTCGGTCGCGTGAATTATGTGGGTGTGGGGTTGTCAGGTCGGTGGAAGCGTGCTACGCCCACCATGTCTGGGACTCCTTTCACGTGCAGATCATGGTTCTCAGACGGATCAGTTTGGTAGAGCGGCGAGGCAAGTGTCTTCACGGTTCAAGAAGGTGAGGTGCGCTGTGCATGCACGGCAGGTGGGATGCGCCGACCGCTAACGGATGGATAAGCAGGGCTCCGATTAGCGCGAATCCTGCTAAACATTCACTTGTTTCTAATGCCCATATGTTGCAAGTCATCCCAACAACACATCTCATATTACTCATAACACAACTAGCGATGGGTATTGAGTACCGAAATTCATGTACGATTGCAGAACGCCTCCTTGCTGTAAAATGTGTCGCTAGCCCTCAGAAGACGTAAGAGAAGCCCCGGTTGTCTGTATGGGAGAGGCCAACCCAGGCGCACCGCGATCGCTGCCACCAGATGCAAACGAATAAGAAAAACCCGTCCCTAAAGAGCGAGCGTCATCTCCACAACTGTACGCCGAACATAACATAATCTGCCGCACTGCCAGTGCGGGGAATAAACAGTAGACCGACAGGCCGAGAAAAGAAGTACAGATATGTGTCTTCCGAACATGGCTATCAAGGCAAGGTTGCTATCGTATCGATAAGATAGTCGAAAAACGAGGCTTCTTCCCAGTTCTACATGGGATTAGCTCCCGTCTGTTCGCCGTTCTCCTGGCGCTCTTTGATCTCGTCGGGTATGATGCCGTTAGCTTCGCATGTGCGCTTGTAGATATTGCACTCGTCCCACGCCCGTTGGCATTCGGCCTTGAATTTGTCGCAACTAGCGCTGAGCTCGGTGATAGCTTGCTCGGTGAGTAGCTTCTCAAGCGTCCACTTTTCGATGTTTTGTTGCTCGTTCTCCTTCAGTTGAGTAATGAACTGGACAGCCCGTTGCAGGATGGAGCCCTTGTTCTTCTCGCAGCCGGGGACGATCTTGGCTAGTTCGTTGATTCCCTCGTTGATGGTCTCGCGGCGGCGGCGTTCAACTATGCAGCTGTTAGTAACTGTATCTAGGAGGACTCGCACGGACGTCTACCTTCTTTGTGATTATCCCTCCGGACCTTGTGCCACTCATCTGTGCCGACTTGAGGTTTGTGCGCAGAGCTTTGCGGTGGCGAGTCGCTGGGTGCTGTTTGACCGGGACGACCCGTCTGTGTAGCTGCCTTCAAAGCCTCGAGACTAAAGTCTTGCATGCCCGTTTGTTGTTGGCCGTGGTCTCCCATGCTGAAGGAGCCGTCGCCTGAGTTCTGTGGCTGGAACTGGAGTTCTGTCGCCTGGGGGACCGTCATCTGGTGATAGGCAAGCGCGGCGGCGGCAGTGTCGCCGACACTCGCGGTGTTGGTCCCACCGTTGTGGTGTACGTCGAACTGTTGCTGCATGTCGTCGTCGGCGGCGTTGTGCGCGGCGAGAAATGAGGCAGTGGCTTGGTCGGTGAGGTCGTTGTTGGCGGAATGGGGAGCAGGTCGGTTCAGGCCTTGGTCGCGCGTGTCGCGCTTCCGTTTGTTGGTGTGGACGTTGTGGGCATCCAGCTTGCCGTCGGTAGGGTATCCGGCGGTGTCAGCCATAGTGTCTGGTGGGGTATCTGGAAGGGGTGAGTAGAAGCAGCTGGAATCCGCGTGGGACGCTAGGATCGACGTCGAGGTTCTGCGCCTGGTTGCTGAGACGGCGAGGTCTGGGATGTACAGGACCAATGGTGAGTGAGGGCGCTGAAGTCTGGCTAGGACACAGTGCTCCTTTGGGCGACCAGGAGGTAGCCGTGAGTGAGTGAGTTAGGCGGGTGACGTGTGGGAAGGCTGGTGAAAGTGGCAGAACAGACGCGCTCGAAGCGTGAGTCGCAGGCGCAACGCACCGGGGCGGGGGAGCAGCGGCACTGTGCCCACCGGTTCACGCACAAGCCGAAGACGACTTGATGTAGCAATCGTGCGCTTGGGGAGCGCAATAGAGGCCTGCGTTCGACAAACATTAGCACGGGCGCGAGCAGGTGAGTAGGTCAAGGTGGTGCGACACAGCGCCAGCAAGCAGAAGGATTGGGCGCTTCCATTTGGCCGTTGTTGTGAGACGCAACTGTCACGACTCAAAAGAACGCCGTCGTATCGTGCGAGCGGTAGGAAGCGCACAATGGCGTCGTGTGTCGTGGTGGATGCGCGTCCATCGAGTGCGGGATGCCGACCGACAACACCGCGGAAAGCGAGCGGGCAGGCGCGCTCGAGGCCACCATGACGCCAGGTGCGCTTCTCAAACGACAGCCCGTGCAGGAGCACAGGGTGGCATGTCTATGCAGGGCTTTCCGGCGGTCGCGAAAAGAGCCATGGTCACTTACCGATGGTACTGCGACGATGTTCCAAATGGATGTGGATGCGCGCGAAATCAGGTGACGGACGAAGGCGTAGCAACTTGTTCGGCCGGCGACGCTTGACAGGCTGGATGCACACTTCTCAAAGTGTGCGAAAGAAAAGAGAACAAAAGGTTTCTTACCTTTCTTGATATTGCAGACTTTGGGCTTCTTCAGGCAGGATCGAACGACCAACTTCCGAGTTGAATCACGAGGAAGGAGCAGAGATGGTCACATGGCAGGAGCGCTATTTAGGAAAGGAAGGCACGACTGAGCCAGCCCACCCGCTCAGCCAATCAGCGTACCGCGACACGCCATGCAAGTTTCCCCACTCCCAGCCCGCCATCGCAACCACTACGTTATCATCAGTCCTGTCGACGCGAGTAGTTGGTGTTTCCCATGCACTGTAGGCTTTCGCTACTTTCGCACCAACATGTCCTTAGCCACAGCGACAGGTACTTCGTTGCCCCCAGTCCCTCTTCGCCACCACGCCCACAGCACCCCCGCCAGCCTCACTACGATACCAGCGTACGGATGACACCCCTCTAGACCACCTAGGCTCAGCCGACACCTCCTACGCATTCACATGGCCTCAAACAGAGACAAAGGTGTGGCATGTGACACGCTGCCCCCCACATTCTGGGCTATCATCGACTACGCTATACCCTTTTTGTCATTGGTCCCATCATGCAATACACAACCATTGGGAAGATCGATTCTCACCTATCTTCTCCACTCTGCGCTCGAGTATTGATGTCTCAACTTACGCGCTGCTTAGTAGGTCTTGTTGTAGCTGTATCTATCTTTCGAACGGCTCTCGGCTCTCCTCGTCCTCTTGCTATCTGTGCAAGTATGAGGCCCAGTCTATTGCTTGCTATCCGCTCAAGTGCGATCCGCGGAGACAAACCAAATTTTGGTTTCGTATCGGTATGGAAAAATACAATGGAGACAGTCCCTTTGCATTTTTACTTTACATCTCCACCTAGATCATGGACAGTCCAGTGTGCGTGTTTGATGGACGTCTTCATATCATCGGGACAATACATCGAACGAGGCGGGCCAAATTGGGGGCAGACAGGAAAAACCCGAACACTCTGGAGCCCACGTTGCCATCAGGTCGCCTGCTTTGGATGTTCTTACCTTAATGTAGGCTGCAGGCCTGTCCGAGTTTTATCTTATGCGAGATAGGTTGCAACAAATCCGATTTTGATCGGTAGATCTGAAATAACGAAACCGGTAGTGCTGGGAGTAGGTATAGTCCCTCTCCTCGGTGGCAAACCGCGAAATCACGTCAGGCTATGAAAATCCTGAACACCCTGGAGCCTACATTGATGTCAAGTCACTCACCTTGCATAATTTTGTCCTAATGTAGTCTGCAGACCTGTTTAGTATAAGCTAAAAAGGCGCCTGTGTATTCATCACATATGCATGTCAACCTAAGAAAAGTCTAAATACCCTAGAGCCTACATCAACGGTCAATCACCTACTTTGAGTGTTTTTGTGTTGATGTAGCCCCCAGGCCTATTCAGCTTTTTCCTTGTCTAAGGCGTGCGGCATATTCTACCAGGTAGTCTTAAGAAGTAGAGAAACGGTATGTAGTGGAACTAAGAAGGAATATATATACTACAATCTACATCACTGAGAGAGGCTATTCGCTGAGCGAAGACGTTGAAGTAGACGAAGATTCGTGAAGAGCAGTAAGCCAAGAGACAAAGCGAGTGGGCTTTGGAGACTGAAGGAATAGTGTAGCAGTGTCGAACCCGCGAAGCATCTCGCTGTGAGGAGAGTAGAGTTCCTCGACGTCAATGTGCGTCCAAGCATATCGCTCGATCTTGGTAAATACCGATGGGTAGAGCACTCCGAGTTGCGGGGACACGATAGCGGTTAAAGAGAACAAAACTTCTGGAAAGCGGTCGACTAGGTATTGCCAGGACTCATTGTTGGTTGTCAGTCCGTCCACGCCTGGAAAGAGGAATAAGACACGGATGCGCCGACCCGCCAGAGCCTGAACATGGTCAATGACCCTTCGCATTGTGTCGTAAACGCTTGCCACTCGCGCTGAATGTCCAGCTGAATTGAGAACTGGGAATGTCGATGTGATGTACCCTAATACCAGTGGGATCCAAACCGGCCTAAAGCTTTGCATTGCTAGCGCTCTTTGTGTGTCAATCTTGTCGTGGGGTCTTGGGTAGTTGTTGAAGACTTGTTCCCATTGATCATACATCGCTTGTAGGCGTACATTGACGTCTTCGGATTCGTTGTGGAGGACTTCGGTATCGGAGCTGATACCGTCCCATGGCCTGCCCGAGCGACGGAAGCACGGAAGTACCACATCGTACGTGCGTGTCGGGTCAGGCGGTGAAGCGCAAACATGGAGATCTGTGCCAAAGATAGCACGAGCCGCGGTGGCACGGATGGTAGTGCTGCCTTCGAGGGCGTACGCTTCGATGCATGTAGGGATAATGCGCGTATTGGCCTTGATGAATTTCCCATTAACAAATGAACCGGGATGGCGAACGTTCGCACGGGGGAATTTCATCGTCCTCTTGCTCAGCGTTTTCCTATTGCGCAGCATAGTGCCAAGCTTATAACGCATTACTTGGAAGGCTGCATTGCGGATCGTAGCAAGGTAGCGCCTGGCAAAACGTCACATGAGAGCTTCGTGTTTGCGACCACTGAAATCTGGTACGGATTGATACGGAAGGTTCTGCGTCTTGTGTTCGAGAATGGCGACGGCTTCGCTACGGACAATGATGTCCTGCTCGTCGAGGTCATGCTGCGTAAGATGATGTCGAATCTTAGGAGAGTGAGATATCCGCTCAGCGTAGCCGTCGCTGCTGTCACTGTCATAGTCGTTGTCGTCAGGGTCCTTGCTCTTGTCATCGTTGTGGTGGTTGCTATTCGGGCTAATGCCAGTCGGGTTGCGCATGTCGCCAGATAGATGCTCGATGTGCGCATCGAGCGCAGCCTGGCTCGAGCAGTAAGGGGGATCACGGCTGCTGATAGTGCTGTGTGCTTCGGTGAAGAGCTCCCGTGGGAGTGCCATACCAAGGCTCAAGGCGTCGGAGGCCGACTTCGCGGGCTGGTCACTGTGAAGTAATGTCCTCACGTTCCACGCTGCGAAGACCCCGCAGTCAGCTGCCTCTTGCTGCACTGTTTCCTCGTATCTAACGGCGACCGTGTTTCAATCGACATTCGCTAATCTGGACGTGGGGTGAGAGAGCGCCACCAGCGCGAGGAATTGCCGGAGCTCCTGCTCGAACATAGACGTAGATCGGTATCTACGTCCTGTGTCGTACACGCGCATGAGCCCCCGCCCCAAATTCCATGCATAGGGCCTGCACCACTACCCAATGGCTGTTCGTCAGATTCCAAGTGAAGACGATGGACGCTGCGGCGTCGAGCTCAGGGAGGATGAAGACTGATTGCGGAACAAGTGACGCGATGTCGGGGCGTATCTCGGGGTTGGATCATGACTTGCCGATGGTTGCCATGTACACTGGACGGCTTGTAGCGACATACACGACCTCCGGTGAGTACCCCCGTGAACTGCCACATCTCTCGACAACGAAGTCGATAGTCGTGCCGGACAGCCACATCTTGGCTTGGCACACCTCGATCATAGAGGCGAGGCTGATTGGCCACGGTCCGAGCGGAAGAAGACGCAGCGGTATGGCACCGTCGGACTCTTGATATTGCTGCACCGCCATGTGAACGACGTCACGGAGCATCCCCGCCCGTGGACACGTATCCATTCGGAGGGTCAGCTTCAGGATGTAATCCGATGCGCGATCCAAATCTGTTGCCTTGGTAATCTGCATTGCCTTAATGTCCGACTGGCTTGGTGGCTGCGACAAGTCGACAGTCAGCTTCACCCGTTTCCGAGACTCTGGCTCTGGGGGCTGCGCGCTACTCTGACTGAACGGGATGGCGACGCCATATTCTTCGTGGTCATCGTTGTTCGGAGGAGGAGAGCAGTCATGCTGGATCTGCGTGCCAGGTGTTACAGTAGGTGCGGTGGTCGCTGCGGTTGGCATGTTGGCTGCGGTTGGCATAGGCGCTGCGGTTAAGATAGTCGCTGCGGTTGGCATAGGCGCTGCGGTTGAGATATTAGCTGCGGTTAACATGTTGGCTGCGGTTGATATAGGCGCTGCGGGTAAGATAGGCGCTGCAGGCGAGATGTTGGCTGCAGTTGAGATGGGCGCTGCGGTTGAGATGGGCGGTGTCTTGGATGCTAGTGGTTCCTTTCCGTCGCCGGTTCCATGCTCAGCTGGGAGAGTGTAACATGGCTTAGGCGTAGAGGCAGCAGGCGGTGTCTTCGGTGCAGCGGGGAGTTTCTTTCCGTCACCAGCTTGATGCTTAGCTGGCGGAGTCTCACCAGGCTTGGACGTAGAGGCAGCGGGTGTGCTGTTCTTGTTGTCGTATGCTTCTCGGTGTGTCTTGTAGGCCCGCGTAGCTCTGAACTTGTTGGCGGCATTTACCTCCTCTCTCAGGAAGGGCTGCCAATTTGGCTCTCGTAGCAGCCGGTTCATCACCTCAATCTCAAGGCGCTCTCGTCGACTCTGGTAGGGAGGAGTCATGCTGGGCTGAATGGACTAGATAATGACAGGACTGGACAAGGACAACGCGGAAGGGAAAAGCAGAAGAGCAGCGAAAGCGCAGCGAAAACACGCTCGATATGCTGTGGCCCCGCATTTTCAAATTGATTGTGCGCCAGGTCTTTCTGTTAGAGGAAGCTGCGCAGGCGCAAATTTGCGGGGCGGTGCGTTGGAGGAAGTCGCGACGACGGGCCGTACTGGGCATGGGAACCATCTCACCCACATGCTGCCAGATAGAGCGTCTGTCCGGTAGCAGACCAGAGGAAGCATGCTCCGTAGAGCTCAGCAAGAAAGAGTCCGCTTCACAGTGAGGTAGGTATGCTGGGGGTGCGTTGGCGACCCGAGTGGATGCCTTTGCAGTGTTAGTTCTCTGTCAAACGCCACGAGAAATGCCGCGATGAGGACAGCTAGCACAAACAGCCTCTTTCTTGTTTACCTGATAGTTGTAATGCAATACATTGTAAGCTGATGCGCGTGCTGCAGCGCGCAAGTTGCGCCAAATTAGCTACTACTACGAGTGCGATGCCGGCCCTCTTTGCGCGCTGCAGCAATTCGAGGACTAAAGACTGCAGTAGCCGGAGAGCTGAAGATGCGCTACGAGTACAACTATCCTAAGCATTGGGATATGTGGTACTTGAATACGGAGAGCTGTAGGTAGGTAGGTCGGAGTCTTTAAGTTAGAGACAGACCTTTGCGGTTTAGCGGCTGTACCGAGCGTGGGTGACGTCATGAATCCTGCGCTGGCGTCTTCCCCACCCCCACCCCCACTACCACCCCTCAGGCCTCTCTCAGTACAGCACCAACCACCAGCACTACGGCATTACAGACTTTACTTCGGCATCCACTCCAGTCCCTCATCGAGAACAACATCATCGGCGCAGCAGTATGAGCCAAAAGAGAATATCAGAGGATGCTGAAGTCGCGCAGGCGGAAGACACCAGCTGCAAACGTGGCAGAGTAGACTCTTCTACCCCGGAAGAGACGTCAGCGCGAAGAGGAGGGAGACTGGACACAAGAGCGACCCAATCCAGATCCAGACGTCTTCCCAAGGCGCCTCCTCTGTCGTCCCACCGTCCACGCCATTATGTCGAACTGACCTAATGCCCCCGCCGTTTCCAGACCCAAAATTCGCCAAAGCCGTTTTGTCATCGGAGTACGGATCGTTTCCGGAAGAGACCCAGTCATCACAATATGGGTCCTTTCCAGTCCTCTCGTCTCCAAGAATGTCCAACAGGTCTCTCCCACTCCCGCAGCACCGACATGGAGTCTCTTCTTCTTTGCCATGTCTCCCACAACAGGGCCGGGCAAGAGAGTCACAGGGAGTATCGTGCGCGAATACAGGCCCCTATCTGACTAGTTTGCTTGCCGACTACGAATACGTCGGAGAACCAGACCCCACATACATTCCAACAACATGCTCGACGAGCAGCGCAAGTGGCAACGAGTTCGCAACATCCTATACTACGTGGCTGATTAGGTGGTGCCTCAGATCACACGTACTACACAAAGATAAAGCGCCCACGACACGAACTTCCCATTCGAGCCCAAAGTCCACCCATCCAGAGCGTCGATTAAGGTTCGTACTCGCGTGCGACTTGACATCCTACAGCTTCGGGTCGCTCCATCTGACCTGATGTGGAACCATGAATTAGGCGCTAAGATGTGTATGTGCAATATGTGATTGCTATCTCTGACGTCCTACCTGTCATCCTCAAAGTCCATGTATGTCCTGCTGTTCCATCTACCTGCAGCACTTCCAGGAGGCCCTCCATATATCTCCGCTTCACAAACGCCAACTTAATACGGTACTCAGGAGCTTTCGCCACATGCGGTAACCAGTCTTCGTCCCTTCCTTCAACACTGAATACCCCCAGCCTCTGCTACCACCTTTGAGAAATGAAACCTATGCATGTGGGGTATCTTCCCAGCGTCAACCTCATCTAGGGTGTAGAAGATGTCTCGAGTGAGGATCGAAATGGTGTTGATGTTGAGTGGACGTGTGCCAAAGGCAGCCGCGACGCGCTGGTGTATCTCCGTCGCAATGGTCTTGAAACTACCCAATACGTCCTTGGAGCGAGGGGTATCGCAGATCAACTGCCACTCCTCCAACTTCTTGAACAGCGGTAATTCAGCAGCCAAAAGAGAAATCTCTTTTTCACCTTCTTGTGATAAACGACCCCGCTCCAAAGATCCCGCTATCTCTTGACACCTGAAACCTAACACCTTGAGACTCTTGTGGTTCTCCTGGAGAACTTCGATCGTCGCCATGTCTAGTGATGGTTTGCCGAGACTCAGGAAGCACTCTTCGAGTTCGCTGTGTGAACTGAGAATATGTGCGTCAAAGTCAGTTTGCCAATCTGCACCAGCTTCTATCTCAAGCTTCTTCAATGTCGAAAATGACTTGCAGAACTTGGCGAATCCGAAAGCTTCATCCGGCTGAAGATACTCTCCATAGCTGTATATATTGATCTTGACCGTATGAAGATGAAGAGGGTCCTTTGAGCTCATCAGGTGCTCGAAAAGACTCTTCAACCAGCAGCATTGCTTCACCCGAAGAGTGCGAAGAGTCGTGATGCTGAATGAAGTAAACATCGCAGGCCGTAGTTGCCGGAAATCGAGGCCAACAAGACTCAGCTCTCTGAGCCCGAACGGCTTCGAAGGCAAGTGAAGACCAAAGTTATCGAAAGGGTTCTGAAGATAGAAGGTCGGAGAGTCCCTAGTCGTATGTCGGCCAAAGACCACCAGCTCATCAATACTTCGAGTCTCGATACCCATCATCTGGATGACGTTTTGCGCCACACTATGCGGGGTGCCGGAGTCCAATTGCTGGCTGGGATCGTGATCTCCTACGACGCTGATCTCCCTAGCCAGGGGCTTTTCTAGTTGCTTGTCTGATTGGAACCGGATAATAGCCGAGTGGTTGAAGATGCCACCATCTTTGAAAGGCTCCGAGTTGCTATGTCCAGGTCGGCAAATCTCGCGAAGCGGTCGCATTGGAAGATCGAGGTTGCGAAGTTTAGATCTGAGTTTCTTACCACGCTCCTTGCTGGTGAGAAGGCCGTATAGTCCGACGTACGACTTGTAATTGAGAGAACCCACGAAGCGTAGCGACACTGGGCTGAGCTCCTTGAGACGGTTGAGAAGAAGCTTAAAAAGCCTTGTTCCACGATCATTATCCAGTGCATTGATACGAAGATGCCGAGTGAAACGCAAGTTTTTGAGGACGATCGAGAAGTGAGCGGGGGTCGTCTTGGACGTTATCCGGCCGACCACAATGTCGATATCCCGGAATCGTGCCTCCGTTCCAACTCGGTGCATTGCCTTGCAGGTCCTCGACAGTTGCAACTGGCTCTTCTTTCCGCACTACCCAAGTTAGCCTCAACACTCTGCTGGAGCGCCAGTCACGTTACGACGGAGTTTGAGCGAATACCAAGGAGTACTTACATAGTCAAATATCATCAAAATCACTTCATCGGGAAGATCTATGGCGGTCGCATACAGTGTAGTTACTGGAGCGGCAGCCAACGCTTTGCCGGAGCGAGCGGTACTACGAGTGTGCCTATCCCTCGCTGCCGCGCGCCTTGCCGCCCTTGACTTGGTCCTGGAGGCGACGTGTTTTTCCGGGGGATTTTCTGCAACCTTGCGAGTGTCATGTCGCCTTGTCGATGTGGTTTCCGCCGTCCGCTTCTGCGTCTGCTTCTGTTTCTTCTTGTCGTCGGTACTTGGCGAGTGAGATCTGCGGCGCTTGTTGGACTTGATCGATTGATGGTGGCCGGGAGGCATGGCGGGTATTTAGTAAGGGGGATAAGGTACGATCTCGGTGTCAGTGGTTCAAAGAACGTAGAGCACGCCAAGTAGAGGAAGGAATTTCAGTACGTCTGTGCGTCTAGGCACCCTTCGCGGTGCAAGTGAATAACGTGATCAAAATACCTGACGGACGTGGTGGGGCACGAGCCAATACGGCCGCCGGGGTCCGAGAGGCTGCAATAAGAACAAGACTATCCCTCCTGACTGTCCTTCCTTTCCTCCCCTCCTCCCACCTTCCCACTTCTCTTCGGTACCCCTGAGTACCTCTTTTGTTCCGAACCTTCGCTCACATGGATGGATCCCGCCGTTTACGGTGCAAGTCAGCCATCCTACGAGGCCCATCATGCTGCCCCCAGACCTGATGGTCATACCATGTGCACAAAGGGCCCGCTACGCTGTATGACGGGTTCTTGCCGACATCTGTGAGAGCGGGCTCCTCGTGTGGGTGTTATGGGTAGCCACGGACCGAACGGAAGAAACGTGCGCTTGGCCCTCATCTCGCGCAAGAGTTCTTGGAACTACGTTCCTTGGGCTGGACCTTGAGCACCCAACTGGGCGAGGACGTTCAATAACCGCGAGACGGACGTGAGTGACGGTACCACACGAAGGTCTCGAGACCTAGGCGAGAGAGTGTTGGAGCTCTTGCTGACGATCGAACGGCGCATCCCAACGCGCTCCGATGCGCATGGTAACATATAGTAAGCCCCCAACTCTTGATTTCGCGAGCACATAACCCCCAAATAGATTGCCCGACCCCCGGGCCAATACAACGGCGAAAATGTAAGAGCAGAGGTCTCACGAGAGCCCAAGTGCGAGCTGCGTTGGGGGCTCGTACTGACGAAGCGGAGGATAATTACCCACCCTTTTTTCGTTGATTCTACTGCTTCATGCAGTGTGTTGAAGAAGAGAGCTACGCGAGAGTATGTCAAGAGCACGAAACTGGTGCCCTCAACTAGATGTGACAATACGCTCACAACTCTCACCCGGTGAAGAAAGAGTCCACGTCACCGAACTATCAGAAGGAGGGAACATGGCAGGCATAAAGCTGGATAATTGGACGATGCACATGAACGCTACGAAATGAGACAGAAGGTAATGCAAATGAAAGCAAGGAGCGAAAAGAAAGATTGTGTTATGGCCGTTGAATTCGAGCTGTCTTTTGGTAGCTGCTGTCGTGTTGATCTTGGATGGGAGGAGGTCGGAAGACGGCCCCGAGATGTTGACGCGCGAAAATGCCACGCTATGACGTCATCACCGCGCGTCACATCTACGCGAACGTCGTCGTTCCATTAGGCGTCTACAGGGTTCCATGAAATCATTGCTATGTGCTATTGCAGATCTCCGTAGTGATCCGATTATCATTGCACTGCCGGACTCCTTCGCTGTACGTGGCTACGTCGATTCATCCCAGCGCAATGGTGCAGAGAAGTTCCTCGCCAGGTCGAACGTCATGGTGAGCCCAGGCATACCCACATCCTCCTCCGTAACAGCCCAGTACTCCTTCCGCATCTCCAGCTCCAGCTCTTCGAACAACGAACTAATTCCAAAACCATAGTATAGAAAAGGCTGTAGCTCTGACAGCTGGGCTTCAAAAACCTTGATTAGTCTCGCGAGACCCAGCATGTCTTCGTCGCGATCCGCCCAAATCTCGTCCTCCACCTTCTTCACCTTTCGACGACGCTCAGTCTTGAACGGTACGACACCCTTCTCTGCCCAAATGAAGACATTCACCATACTCGCCGCGCACTCCCACTCGGCCAAGAATCGGTAGCGGAAGCTTTGTGAGCACCAATCACAAGCGACCAGCCCGCAGACAGCAGAAGTTTGTCCAACTATTCGCACGATATGCACATCCTTTGCAGCGCGAATAGCTATACTCTGTCGTATATAGCATCTTGCGTCGCCACAAGTGGGTACAGTTGAGCTGCAGGAAGCTCGGAGTACCGCCGTCGAAGATGACGCTAGCGTCGTGTGGTCTCGGGGCCAGAATTGGGACGCGTCGGCGCAGACGAATCTCTTGTCGAGCCATATCTGATGGCGGTGACGGCCGTGGGCGTGGTGGTGCTGGATCTGGTAGAGTTACAATTGTTATCCCGACTGGAACGACATCGTCTGCAGGAGCAACTACGTCAGCCTCGCTCTGCGCTGCGTCTACTTCGCCGTCTTCGCTGAAATCATTCTGAGGCCCGTCGATCCAGCTCAGCTCAGATTGATCGTCGTCAACGTTATGAGTTTGACCATCTTGCTCGGCTTCATCCTCGGGGTCATGGACCACTTGCGCCGGATCTGTTGGGTCGGTCTCAATCTCATCATCAGACGTATCTTCGTCTGTTGCATTATCCTCGTCGTACTCCAGTTCATCATCTTCGTAACCCCGTTCGTCGCCATAGTCTATATCATCATCCAACTCATCATGGTAGCCATGATCATCGAAGTCAGGATCGTTGTAGCCATCGCCATCATAAGCCGCATCGTACTGCGTGATGGCGTGGCTTAACTGTTGCTGGCCAAGTCGATTGAGTCCTGCGCGACTATAGCCACTGTCTCGATGCAGGCCACGAGCACCAAGCTCATACCCCTGATCGTCATACCCCTCGACTGGATCTCCGTAAGACGGGCAACCTTCATCCTGATGGAAGCCTTCGTTGGTCCAAGGTAGTAGGCAAACGAAGCAGAACTCATGACGACAGTAATGACAGGTCATGTGGTTACAGGCTTCTTTGTGCTCCATCCAGACCCGACAGTTTGGACATGACTTTACGCGACAGATGCTCGAGTACTCGGGCATCCAGTTTGGCCTCATACCTGGCTCGTCGGATACTACGCAACGGTGCTCTTGGCCTGCCCACTCATGCTGGCATCCGACACAGGTGCTAGTCCCGCATCCGCAGTGGGCCACCGTGGAAAAGGCATAGCTATTGTTGACATGAGATCTTGGGATGAATGAGCGACACTGCTCATTGACACAATAGACGCGAATGGCGCGTGGTATGTAGTACTCCTGCGCCTTGAGTGAGTAGGTCTCGAGGACCTCTGGGCTCAGCAAGTGTTCTACAAGACGACGTGGAAGTGGAGTACAGCACCGGGCTGGAAAGGCTTCAGTGTCGGCGAGAGCAGCATTGTATGCGTCAACGACGCACTCGTTGCACATGAAGTGTTCTGTGCAGTGAGTGACACCTTCGGACAATATGAAGTCATCTCCACATATGCAACACTCGTACTGGATCGTGTCTTCGATCGGCCGCCTATCGATAGATGGGGATTCTCCGGCGCAAGCTTCCTGCTCGTTGACTACACACACTCCGCCCTTAGCTACCCTTCCCGCGGACTTTCGAGCTTTGCGTAAGGCCTTGTGATCCATGCCGGAGGACGGAGCTGGAGTTGTATACAATATTCCTCCTGGCAAGGATTGATCGGCCATGACTGAGGTCGATCTGAAAGGGATTTCTGGTTGGTTCTTGATCTTGCTTAGTGGGTAGACGGGCGTGCTCAAAAAGAGATTCTGGTAAGTCGGTATGCAGTTGACCAGCCGGACTGGAGATAATGGGCCCGTGGTCATGGAAATGAGCTGGTTTATATAAGGAGTGGGTGCTTTCACCGCCACCTTAGTACTAGAGGCGGGCCCATCATTAGAATGGTAGGAAAGGGGGCATGATGTCTGTGCACCCAATTGACCCCAGGAAGTTCTTGAGGATTCAATAAATTGTAGTCGGAGCTTAGAATCCCTCTTTTCCAGTCCGTAAGGCTGCTAAAAGGGTGGGGGGTGGAACTGTACAGAAGCGCTTGTGTGACTTGGAAGTGAGTATTGAATAGTATCTGTACTAATTTGAAGCAAACAGTTTGTGCTCACTATTCTTATACACCCAGACGATCAAGGTTAACAGGATTCCAGTAATGCACCGTTCAAATGGGGGAGACAGGTATACGAGCACGATCGAGATCGGGTTGCAGTAGCAGGTTCTCCTTGTCACTTAAATCTCACCGACAAATCAACTACCGTTGAGTCCAATCGCACCGTTCGACCCATTGAAAAAGTCTTTCTCTGGTACTGGCACTGCAACTCCAAGGCCCTCCTCCTCTGCCATCTTCTTCTGCCACGGCAACATCTCCTTCGCCGGTACCGCCGGCCCAACCTCACCGCCCTCCTTCCGCTTCTCCGCCCATTCATCAATGTCTTTCTGCTCGATGAAATTACCGTGCAGACCCAGACGCAACTTGACAGGTAGATGAATGACAGCCAGCGGCCCCTGGGAGAGGTTCTGCGCATCGAAGATGAGGATGTCGTTGCGCAAAACATCGAGATGGTTGAGCAAAGCCATGATGTATCCCTCGCCTTCCACGAAGTCTGATGGAGAAGACGAGGCCTTTGGAACGAAAACCGGTTCTTGGAAAGTACATGTCGGTCCTGCCCAGAATGTATCTTTCTTCCCACTGTCCCACTCATAGTGTCCCAGTACGTTGAAGAGACCACCGGCGGGCGGGCCACACTTCGGGAAGTCATACGGTTTGCTCTGGTCGATGTTACATTGCCAGAAGTGGTTGTACTTTTTCGTTAGAACTCTATCGTCAATTCGTGAGAACTCGCCGTTGATACCAAAGAGCTTATGAGGTTGTACCCGTGTGTTCGTGGGGGTTTTGGGATCGAAGACCCAGCGGTAAGTGTCAGAGACGAGCTTGTTACGTTGAAGCAACGTCGTGGGTGTGTTTGCCTGGCTGTCTGGTGGAAAGAAAAAGAAGACATTGTCTGAAGCTATGGTCAGGTCGACGACGATGTGTCCCGACGAGTCTTCGTAGGAGCCAGCGACGTGACCGTGAAAGCCTGGAATTGTTAGCGCCTGTCACGATATCACTAGTGGCATACACACCGTTGTCGGCGCGTAGCCAGACAATATCCTCTGGCTTTCCATTGCGACGAGGCACGATGCCGTACCACTGGTCTTCGTCTGGGTCCCACGCAAAGTGATTGCCGCCCTTCTTGAGCCTTTCAGCATTGACCTTAATTGGTGTGAGTGGTAGGATCAAGTAGTTTTTTGTGATAGCACAGTCGTGTATCATCCCACAGAACGGTGCTTTGTACCAGCATTCCTCGGTTTTCTTCCCATCTTTGTCGATCGTGTATACTACGATGTCACAACTGGCATCGTACCCGTTACCTCCAGCTTCATAGCCATAGCATACCATTTCTCCTGTGTCTGGATCAAACTTGGGGTGCGCAGTAAAAGTTGGAGATTGTACTTGACCGTCGAAGTCATATCGGCCAATGGTCCCTAGTGTGACTGGATTCATAGCGAAAGGTGGGCCGTCTTCCTTGATGGCTAGCAGCACCCCGCGCCAAAAGATGATGTTAGTATTGGAAGCTGTTCTTATAATACCTTTCACCATCTCATTATCGGTATATGGGTTTCTGTATCGGCCAAGTAGAGATTTGCGCGCCTTCGTTTCCGCCTTGAACCGGTCGGTATGTACATATCGCTGCCTGAAGTCGACGTGACCGTTCTCGAAACGAAATGCTGAAACCGAACCATCGCCGTTGAAGTGTATGTCCTCCTCGTATAAGGGTGGGAAGCGATGATCTGGCTGTATACGGAAAAAAGTTCCGTTTATATCTTTGGGTATCTGAAAGGACTGAGCTTCCGCGGTCTATCTCTACAGGACGGCATACTCACTGTGCCAGTCGTCTCGAGCTCAAAGATGTCGGCTTCGAGGCGCGATGGTTTGTTGAAGCCTTGGAAGAAGCCACTATCTGGGAACTTGACTTGGTCATCCGATCGGCTCCCTCCATGATATGCTGATGGGGCAGGGTTCGCGAGAGAGAATATGTGTGCCATCGCGTACGTGCTGTGCTCTCCCGCCTGGCAGTAAGGTGGTCTAATACTAATTGTCACTCATATTACAATCTTTCGTTCTGGCAAGGAGATGCATTAGTTTGCTACCAGACGTACTGCCGTGCTCGAAAGTTACGAGTATGCATGTGGGGAGGTGGACTTGCGGGGAAGTTGGAGATGGTTACAGGGGTTGTTGTGCCCGGATTGATGCGACCGCGCGGGATTGCAAGCGGCATTATTGGTCCGACACAGCATTGAACCCTGAAAATGGGACAATGCTACACTTTTGGACACGGACATAGCCGTAGCGCTGAACTGAGAGTTTCTCGTCCGAATATAGCTATGACAGATCATAGCACGCAGCTGACGCAGGGATGATAGGTCGCCTTGCTCCGTCTCCGAGCCGCTGAGAGGGGTGCTTTACCGGGAAGACTGGCTATAACGCAAATCAAATGGTGGTGACTGTGAAGGCTTGCGTGGCGACTTTGGTCGCGAGCATTTGCTCTTTCTCTAGGGCTTGCTGCGCATCATTAGCGATGTAACTTTGGGCTTCCAATAAACCTGTCAGACTGCATAGAGTAGGATGCAAAGAGCTCTGAAGCCGTGGCCGCGTTGTGCTTGTACGACACCAAAAACGCCACTGACGAGTTGATGCGAGCACGAAAGACCTGATATCATTTGTTCGAATATTTGAATCATTCCAATCGCATTACGCAAAGGAAGGGCTACGTCTTCATGCGCCATATCGACACATGCAACGCAGGTATAGTCATAAAGTCATTCGACGTTCTAAGCTAAGCATGCCTCTACGAGTCAGATTCTGGTTTGCTCAGCACGAGTGGAGGAGTGCTTGTTGAAGCATCCTGACCAAAGTGTGGAGCTCTAAGATCATCGTCGGCGACTTGCTCGCCAGTGACAGGGTGATTGTAGTGGAATGGCACGACGCGCGTGTCAGGCCAGAGCATCGGACGATCGCAAAGAACGTCTGGCCCATTTGGATCCTCCGGGTACGTCTTCGAAAGGAAGGGTACATAGTTCGGCTTGGTGTGCGCCCACCCCTTTTCGAAGGTCGCGTGCCAGAAGGGGAAGTACTTCAACCTGAAGATCTTCCATGCCCCATTCTCTTTGATGTATTCGTTCTCGTATATGCCACCTTCCCACCATTGTACTAGGCCGCGAGGGTGTGTATCTTTGATGCTATCGTGGGTACCGGCCGACATCATGCTGCGGAAGCGACCTTTGGCTCGCGTGCCATCGGCGTTGACGTCGACTATGCCCTGCATCTGTGGGTGATCGAGAAGAAAGCCATGCACAGGGCCATTGCGTCCGGCTACGAAGGCATTCGCGAAGCGACCGATGTAGAGTCTCTTGACGCCCTCCTTGCCATTGTATCGGCCTCCGAGGAACTCAACGCATGTGTCTGGGTGATTGGAGTAGAGGTTGGCGACCTGTTAAGATGAGCTTCCAGTCAAGTAGCATGTTCGCTCTACTAACCTCTTTGTACAGACACTTGTCGAGATAATACCCGTAAGTGTACTGAAGCTTGCGAATGTCCTCCTGATCTGGTGTTCCCTTAGCAGGCCGCAGGAAGCTAATCGATAGCTGACTAAGCACATACCGCTCAAACGCGTTACCTCCGCCTGAAGCTTCCCCACCATAGCCTTCAATTGCTCAATCTCGCTACCCATGATGTCGGCGTCTCGGAAAGGTTATGAAAGTGCAACTCAACCGATCGCTGAGGCCCTACGCCGCTTTTTATCATTATCAGTCTAACACGAAGTTGTCAGCGATACAGGGAACTATTCCCCAACGTGAGATTCGCAGCAAGGGTGGAATTCTTGCGAGGGCTCCGCGAATGGGCTCGCCTATATTGGCGGTGATATGGACGCGACATGTCTGAAGCCGCGGGTTGATATTTCCGGCGGGTCATTTTGAGAACGTGTGGAGCAAGACGGCACCGAGGTGGGGTCATCGAAGCAACGCCGTGCCACAGCCTCGCTGCTTCTCCAAATTTACCGCACCTATCCCCACGGAAGAGATAGCATACGCTGCCACAATCCTTTGAACCCTTATCAAGGGACACTTGCATATACTTGCTCTAGAACTTCTGCCATCAAAATGGGTCTACCGGAAAAAATCGAGACGCGTCTCTTCATCAATGGAGAGGTTGGCTCTCTTAAATCAATTGATTATGCCTCCGCTAACTACTTTATAGTTCGTTGAATCATCAAATGGGAAGACGTTTGACATTACCAACCCCGCCACATTGAAGCTCGTAGCAAAAGGTGAGTCTGGAACGTCAACGCAAGAGCTTGCGACCAACTTCGGAGAAAACAGACTTACGATCGTTATAGTTCACGAGGCATCTGAGCAAGACACCGACAATGCTGTCGCTGCAGCAAAAGCTGCTTTTCCTGCTTGGTCAAAATTGACTCCAGACCAAAGAGGCCAATACTTCAAGAAGTTGGCTAGTCTGATCCGAGAGAACAACGATGAGTTGGCCGCTTTAGAAGCAAGCTCTATGGGTCGCCCAGTAGGCGAGTTCTTCGATGCCTATGCTTCTGCGGCGAAGTGGGATCGTTATGCAGAAGCTGGATACAGTGTGCAGGGTAAGATGGTTGAGTGTGAGCTTTGCAGCAGGCTACTAACATTGACCAGGTACCACGAGCGTCCAGACTCCGGGATACGTCAACATGACGCTGCGTCAACCTTACGGTGTTGTAGCTGGCATTATTCCCTGGAACGTTCCATTGTTGTTTTTGGCCAACAAGTTGGCACCGGCTCTCATTGTTGGGAATACTGTGGTCTTGAAGAGTTCTGAAAAGGCTCCATTGACTGTACGTCATTCCTTCCACACTCCTGCAATAGACTGACGATAGTAGTCCGCAAAGATCGCCACTCTGGTACAGCAGGCTGGCTTCCCTCCAGGTGTGATCAACATCATCACCGGCTTCGGCAATGTTAGCGGATCCATCTTGAGCCATCACATGGATGTGCGAGCATTATCGTTCACAGGCTCAAGTCGCACGGGACGATTGATCCAGGCAGCCGCCGCAAAGTCCAACATGAAGCAAGTATTCCTCGAACTTGGAGGCAAGTCTCCAGCAGTCATCTTCGAAGATGCCGATCTGGAAAAGGCCGTGAAGGAAACGGCTCACAGCATCCAGTGGAACAGTGGTCAAGTCTGCATGGCCAACTCGCGCATTTACGTCCAAGATACGGTTGCCGACAAGTATATCGAGCTCTTCAAGCAAAACTTCGAAAAAGAGGTCAAGATGGGTGACCCCCTCGATGCGCGTGAGAACGGCGTCAACCACGGCCCACAAGCTGATGAGGCGCAACACAAGACTGTGTTACAATATTTGGAATCGGGAAAGCAATCCGGCGGCGAACTCCTCACTGGTGGCGGCGCTCCATCGGGACGCGAAGGCTATTACATTGAGCCTACCATATTCAAGAACACGCCAGAGGACGCAAAGATCATGAAAGAAGAGATCTTTGGCCCAGTTGTCAACATCAATGTCTTTAAGACTGAAGACGAGGTGCTCGCAAAGGCTAATGCAACAGAGTTCGTCTCACGGTCCCTAGCGTGGCCAAGCTGAAACAAACATTGACTAATTCTGTCTAGGTACGGACTATATGCGTCAGTGTACACCAAAAACATCGATCGCGCGATGCGCTTCGCAACAGGGCTTGAAGCTGGTACGGTCGGCGTCAACTGCACCTCACCAGGTAAGCAATATACATTCAACTGGATTGTACGTGATGCATGCGCTGACTCGATGACGCTTAGTTACCGGCGTAGACATGCCCTTCGGTGGTTACAAGTCATCAGGTTCAGGACGCGAAGGCGAGCCTCTGTATTCCTTGAACAACTTTCTGGAAACAAAGAGCGTCTTGATTAAGATATCTTAAATATTGCGACATGACACGATCGGCTGCGACATGATTTGCCGTCTCTACAGCGCTATTCTGTGTTCGCTATAGATTTTGATTAGCCGACCGGCAGGTTCTGCAGGGTGGCCTTGCGCGGGCTCAATGCCCCAGCAGATCCCCCGCTAGAAATGGGATCCCTTTTCCTTTATCCTCAACTGCAGCGGGCTCGATGCTCCATGACTTCTCCACGAACTGCTGCAAGCCTGCCGAATGAAATTTTCGTATCGCCGCTAGTGTCATCTCACTCGGCCGGGCTGTCGAGGGTGTCGGATAAATATGGCCGAGTACGCGGCCGTCGCCCCGCCACGAGTTTCGGCACCCCCATCCAGCAGAGCTCCGAACGCCCATCGTGTCCACAGCAGCTGTGATCGGTGTCGCAGTAGGAAGACAAAGGTAGCTTAAGGCATCTCCACGTCAATCGGTGCCAAGAAACTAATGACTACCTCTAGTGTATTGATCCTGGTATGGGGTTTCTCCCACCGGTAGTACGATCGTGCCGACAATGACACAAGCTGACAATCTTAAGTCCCGGGACCATGTCGTTACTGCGCACGCACAGGCGCGGTGTGCACAATCGCTACCCCAAGAAGGAAAAGGCCTTATTACCATGTTACCGAGGAAGAATACCAGTGTTCTATGCGCATCCTCGAACACTTCTTCCCTGGGCATGAGCTTAACCTGCAATCGCTCCGAACCATTGCCAAAGCCATCAAGGAAGGCACATTCAATGCGGAGCCTGTCCAGCATACCGAAGGCCTCTTCAGTAATGACCAAGAGTCGCCTGAGGATGCAGAGAGTGTTGATGATGGCGAGGAACAAGACGTACAGGAACTGCATGAGCCGTTGGGCTGCATGATGAAAGATTCGAGAGGGAAATTTCGATACGTTGGCGCTCACAGTGAAATACCCTTTAATGCTGCTGTGGCCACCTTGGGTATGCAAAGGAAGGACCCGTCGATTATCCCAGGCCCCAAAGTAGGCTCATATCCGCCTACACTACCAGGCTCTTCGCCTTCGAATTCTCCTGGTTTTGAAGAGAGCTACTACCTTCCCGGTCGAGAGTTGTGCGACGTCTACATCTCCCGGTTTCTAGAGGATGTCCATTGCACGTACTGGTTATACCCAGTGGAAACCCTGCTCCGACGAATAGAAAACACGTACTCCGAGTCGGCACCCCGCTCGTCGAGCTCTTGGATGTGCTGTTTGTACACGATGTTCGCTATTGGCGCAGCCAACTATGTAGGCGCCAATGGCAACTCTCCGCCTCCGGATTGGCCAGCTGCATTAGACTTGAAGACATCCGAGGACTACCTTACACTTGCAAAACAACTCATTCCGGCAGTATATGATGAGGCCGATGTCGATAGTATACGTGCTATGGCTACGATGGTATGTACATTTGGCAATGTTGAAACTGTTCTCGGCATGGCTGACCACTGCTCAGAGCATCGCTATGGAGAACCTTTGCTCCAGGGTCAGCGCTTATCTGTACATGGGCGCTAGCGTTCAGATGGCCTTCTCTCTAGGTTTACATCGTGACCAACTGGCTGAGTCTGGAACTACAACGGAGCGAGAACAAAATCGCAGAATCTGGTGGACACTGTTCCAGCTCGACCAGGAACTATCTTCGCGAGGCGGGAGTCCGACGGTCATAGATGAGCGGTTTACGAAGGTCACAACACCCATGCCGTCAGAGCAGGTAAGTCTAAAATCGCCCATTCACAACGCGTCAATACTAACGGTTATAAGATACTATATCCCGGACTCCATACCCCGCTATCATGGATGACGACATCGGTATCTCTCTGCCGCTTGAAGCGTGAGATCATACAGTCGGTCTACATGGAACGCTCCGCCAACTCGATATCCTTCTCAACCGTATCTAATTCCCTTCTGCTGCTGCAAAAGTGGTATCGCCAGATGCCGCCACACCTCAAATACGACGTACCCGCGCCTCCCACGCACCGACGTGCGGTCGCAATCTTGCATCTCCAATATTGGAGCACCACGATACTCCTCACACGGCCCTTCCTTCTATACCTTGTCATCAAGCACGGGACACTAGCTTCGAGCAAACGGATATGGTTCGAGCGGATGGGCAAGATGTGCATCGACGCCGCACAGAAGAGCATCTCGATACTGACGCAAATGGCAAACGATGGTACACTATCGAGCTTAACCGCCTTTGACAGCACATGTATCCTACGGCTGATCATGATCTTCATCCTTGCCTACGCACACACCAGAACATCCCGGTATAGCGCGCATATCGAGAAGTTGGTGGAGCTTACACGTGGCATGGAGCAGATTGGCTTCACCAAAATGGTGACTGAGGAAACACCATTGCGTCTCGCCGACCTGGGTATCACGGGCCAGGCTCAACAGAACAACGGAGACGCGAATGGGTCGAATGGGCAGGTTCATCTCGATGATGAGATGATCGCTCAGTTATGGGGCAACTGGGATCCGTAAGTGATGAATGAAGGAACCTACGTAAGCCATGATACTAACGACCACAGCAACTTCATGACCCCGCTACAGACACAGCAAAGTCTTGATCTTACATTCGATGATTCTGGCGCCTACGACATTAATTCGGAGTTGTTGGCTTTCACGAATTTGGACGATTCCATCATTATTGACCCGTCGCAAGCGTTTTCGAACTATGGCATGCATTGCTGAGGCTTCTCAGATGATTGGTAGGGTAATAAAGAGGAGGGAGTTATGGAAAGCATGGGTGGTGTATATATAGGAAGAATTTGGGAGGATTTCAGGAGTTTGCATATCGTGCATCCGGCGTTCTTTCTGGCAAGCGCGCAACAATACATCAACGATGGGAAGAGGTTACGATAATACAAAGTATACAGGCGACTCGCCAATGTAACAAGAGTTGAAGAGAGAGGTTTCGAGTGCATAGTGATTGAGGTACTGCAGGTCTCAGGTCGTTTGCTTTCAGGACCAAACAGCTGGAAAAACGATGGCCCGCTTCTCTACTAATAGCTGTCTCGAGATGTTGATGTAGCTTAAAATACACGGCCCTTTGTCTGCTTCATGCCAATGACGTCGATGTTTCGCCACATGAGCACGCCAGCTATACCGATGATCCATGCAGCAGTACCTGCGATGAACAGATATCTTTGTGCATCTCCGTAAGCCCTCTGTACCGCTAAACGAGTGGGTGATCCAACTGGGTACGATAGCTGAGTCGTGATGTCCGCGTAGATCATCAAGAAGTTTGGAAGTTCTTCCGCCGGAAGGTACTCCATGAGCTTCTTGGGGACCACGTCTTGCCAAATTGCAGAGGAGACCGTTAGTCCAATGGCTCCCCCAACACTTCCACACATTGAAACCAGAGCGATGGCGACAGCAAAGTACTGCTGCTCCTTGACTGCGGCCAGGATGGCGATCTCGGCTGTGATTGTCATGACACCACCACCAAACGCGGCAAAGATCTGGCACATGACGATGTAACCGATCTTGTCCGTGGGTTGATTGAAGTGAATGAGTAGTGCGGTTCCGAGTACTACCATAGGGAGTGAGAAGAAGAGAGTAACTGGTTTGAACCGCCCAGTGTAGGATATGAAGCCGCCGACAAGGGCAGCAAAGATGTAGCCACCAACGCTATAGGTCGACATGATGTAGCTGGCATGCGTAACGCTGAGGTTGTTGACGACTTGCAGGATGGAGGTAAAGTACATGCTCCAGCACATGTAGCTGAAGAAGAGAGCGAAAGACAGAAGACACGCTCCAGCGACGGTGCGGTCCAGAAGTAAGTTCCAGGGGATGAAGCAGATCTCAGCAAAGAATCGCTCCCAAATTCCGAACAGGATCAATAAGACGATGCCGAAGACGAGAAAGCAGATAATCATGGGGGAGTCCCATCCCTTGGCTTGCAGAGTGTAGAGGTTGAAGGGCAGAAGGAAGAAGGCGAATCCTGTAGACAGCGTGAAAAGACCAACAGCGTCGAACTCGCGCATGTAGTATTTGAACGACTCCCAGAATGTGCGTCCACTCGACCGCTGAGGTACCAGACCCTGCTTCTTCGCCTTGAAGTAGTGGTAAGTGAAGAGGCCGAAAAGGGGAAGGGTGACCGCCGGGACGAGGATGCTTTCCATGCCAAAGGCCCAACGCCAGCCGGCTCCGTTGAGAAATGCCGTAGAGATTGGTCCGCCCAGCCAGGCGGTTATCAAAGCAGACGAGGCAGCCAGAGCTTGGATAAGACCTCGGTGGCGCAAGGATGTCGTGTCTGCGACGAACACGCTCAGACTGTATCCAACACCGTTGATGCCGACGGTATAGAAGATCTGCGACGCAGCGTATGCCTCAACGTTGTTGCAAGCAGCCGACATGACAAGCCCGACAGTGGCGAGTATGGAGCAGAGAAGAAATCCTTGTGGGCGGCCGAACACGTCTAGAACCTTGGCTATGCTGAAATTGGTCACACCCCCGATGACAGAGCTGAGGACGCTGGTGGTAGGGGTGAGGGAGTGGAGGGCGAAAGAAGAGGTAACGTAGGGTATCAAGGCGCTGCTGATTTGCCCTACCAAGCCCTGGATGAAGTAGACCAGCCATATGAGGATATAGGCAGTCACCAGCGCTCCGGTGGTCCAGGAGAGCGTCACGGCTTCGATGTCCTGAACACCAGCCTGGAAGTTGGTGTCGACCGTGTTGTCGCCATCTGGAGTGTTGCTAAGATATTCTGCGTCTTTCTCCGATCCATGTGAACTTTCGTGAGGAGCATTGCGAACTTGGCTAAGAGCCGTCTTATGCTCGACCTCGGGGTCGTTTGACATCGCTCGTCGTGGGGTAATGTTGGCCGGCTAACAGATGTTGGGTACTCGCTGATCCAAGAACGAAAGTAACAGTGCTGGAGGCAGACGGCTATAAAGAGGTCGAAACGACGTGCAGCGGAGAGAGCATGCAGAGCCTCAGCACGGAGACTGTGGGAGAAGATAAAGGAACTAAAGATACTACAAAGA